CACTGAGGTTTGGGGAGGGAGCGCAAGGGCACACAGGAGTGATGTGAAATATGGTGAGGTTCAGTGAAGGTATGCAAGAATTGAGGAGGGTGGGATGTGGCTAGCATGCCACAAGCACAAAGGGGCTGTGGAAGAGTGCATGGGTGGGCAATGACTTGCAATCTTCCCTGCCAGCTTTCCCATTGACTTTCTGGGGAAACCAGCAGGGAAAATAGCAAATGGTGATCATGTGATCGTGGAGCACTGCAACCAGTCGTAAGTATAAGCCAGCTGCAAGTGTCCAGATTAGGATCACATGACTGGAGAGGGTGTTGGAATGGCAGGAACTCCGAGGACTGGTCATAGCCATCATTCAATCAATGCCATTATAACTTTGAATGATCACTAAATGTATGAGACTACCTGTATATGGAAAACATGACTTAAATGACAAGTAATGGCATAAGTAAACAGGTTTTCCATAAAGACATGCCTACAGAATATAACACGACATATAATCTTACAATATTGAGCATATTTTTGTTCCCTGGTTGTGACATTCTAAAAGTTCTAAATCTAATCCAGCAATATGTTTTATGTAGTAACTTTTCCTATAATTGATATATAGAATTCCATATCACAAGATGCAGAGACAGACATTAACAGACTTATTTAAAAGAATTGGGCAAATTAAAAGGAATATAACTGCCAATACAGAACCAATTTGCCAATACGTCTCAATGAAACATGACCCTGCATATATAGAAGCAGCACACCTTCACATCCCTCAGAAGTGTTAAAAAGGACATTCCCCAAAACATCAGCCTGCTATTGCAAGGCTGAATTCTCAAAACCTTTTGCCTTAAACAATGGTTCAATTTATATACCTGTAAAAGTTGACCTTCAGTACTCAATTTGCAATTCCAAACTTGACTTCCAGACACATATGTCTACCTGTCCACCTCCAACTAAGCATCCTTAGCCATCTTTGGTGAACTTGCTCCCAAAAAATAAAAAATAAAAAATCCATTGCCCAAGGAAACAGAAGTATAAACATTCAAAATATTTATATCAAAGAAAAAATTCTGGAGCACAGAAATCACAATCAGAATGGTAGAGATAGTTTATTGTCTACTAAGAAATTTTGTAAAATGCTATATTTAATTTTAACTCCTCCTCTCAAAGGCCAATATATTGCAAGCGATTGACAAATAATCTAACGTTTTTAAAAGAGCTAATAATGTTATAAACATTAACTTAGAAAATAGATTTACCTAATCTGCATATAACCTATTGACAAAACTATGCAAGATCTCATCCATTCAACCAGAACAGAATCCTTTAGGTCTGAATCCTGGGTTTCCTCCAACAGACATCAACTATAGTTCAATATACAGCATCTGATCCTTTAATAGTTCAGGACTGCAAAACTCCAGAAAACCATTTATAAGATTCATTCAAAAAATGTGGCATAAGCAGCAATTTCCAATACGATTAGAAATTAATTCATTTGTATTCAATTTATTTCAGATATTTCCTGCTAGCATATAAAATTCTGATATATATATATATATATGTAGGTCTTTGGTTATTCGGGTTTTCTCCCGAATAACCAAAGACCTACATACAAATACCCGCGAAAACCTCAGAAAACATATATATACACACACACACACACACACACACACACACACACACATATATGTATATATATATATATATACATATGTATATACAGTGGGTCAAAAAAGTATTTAGTCAGCCACCAATTGTGCAAGTTCTCCCACTTAAAAAGATGAGAGAGGCCTGTAATTGACATCATAGGTAGACCTCAACTATGAGAGACAAAATGAGAAAACAAATCCAGACAATCACATTGTCTGATTTGGAAAGAATTTATTTGCAATTTATGGTGGAAAATAAGTATTTGGTCAATATCAAAAGTTCATCTCAATACTTTGTTATATATCCTTTGTTGGCAATGACAGAGGTCAAACATTTTCTGTAAGTCTGCACAAGGTTGGCACACACTGTTGCTGGTATGTTGGCCCATTCCTCCATGCAGATCTCCTCTAGAGCAGTGATGTTTTGGGGCTGTCGCTGGGCAACACGGACTTTCAACTCCCTCCAAAGGTTTCCTATGGGTTGAGATCTGGAGACTGGCTAGGCCACTCCAGGACCTTGAAATGCTTCTTACGAAGCCACTCCTTTGTTGCCCGGGCGATATGTTTGGGATCATTGTCATGCTGAAAGACCCAGCCACGTTTCATCTTCAATGCCTTTGCTGATGGAAGGAGGTTTGCACTCAAAATCTCACGATACATGGCCCCATTCATTCTTTCCTGTACACGGATCAGTCGTCCTGGTCCCTTTGCAGAGAAACAGCCCCAAAGCATGATGTTGCCACCCCCATGCTTCACAGTAGGTATGGTGTTCTTTGGATGCAACTCAGCATTCTCTCTCCTCCAAACACGACGAGTTGTGTTTCTACCAAACAGTTCTACTTTGGTTTCATCTGACCATATGACATTCTCCCAATCCTCTTCTGGGTCATCCAAATGCTCTCTAGCAAACTTCAGACGGGCCCGGACATGTACTGGCTTAAGCAGGGGGACACGTCTGGCACTGCAGGATCTGAGTCCCTGGCGGCGTAGTGTGTTACTGATGGTAGCCTTTGTTACGTTGGTCCCAGCTCTCTGCAGGTCATTCACTAGGTCCCCCCGTGTGGTTCTGGGATTTTTGCTCACCATTCTTGTGATCATTTTGACCCCATGGGGTGAGATCTTGCGTGGAGCCCCAGATCAAGGGAGATTATTAGTGGTCTTGTATGTCTTCCATTTTCTAATTATTGCTCCCACAGTTGATTTCTTCACACCAAGCTGCTTGCCTATTGCAGATTCAGTCTTCCCAGCCTGGTGCAGGTCTACAATTTTGTTTCTGGTGTCCTTCGACGGCTCTTTGGTCTTCACCATAGTAGAGTTTGGAGTGTGACTGTTTGAGGTTGTGGACAGGTGTCTTTTATACTGATAACAAGTTCAAACAGGTGCCATTAATACAGGTAATGAGTGGAGGACAGAGGAGCCTCTTAAAGATGAAGTTACAGGTCTGTGAGAGCCAGAATCTTGCTTGTTTGTAGGTGACCAAATACTTATTTTCCGCCATAATTTGCAAATAAATTCTTTCCAAATCAGACAATGTGATTGTCTGGATTTGTTTTCTCATTTTGTCTCTCATAGTTGAGGTCTACCTATGATGACAATTACAGGCCTCTCTCATCGTTTTAAGTGGGAGAACTTGCACAATTGGTGGCTGACTAAATACTTTTTTGCCCCACTGTATATATATACACACACACTCATCAAAAGAGGATTTTCTAGAGTAATTCTGTGTCAAATCATGGAGAAGGTATTTTTAAACAAAATTAAAGAATACGTAAAGTTTATGGAATATAAAACTCACTTCAGTTTAGAAGAACTGGACATTAGAAATTGAATACATCAGAAGTAAAACTCATAAAATCTAAAATTATTGGCAATAAATGTTTTCAAATTCAGAGATTAAGCTCTCTTCTCACAAAAAATTCTCTATTCTTAAAAAAAAAAAATACAGCTTACCGATCAACCTTTTCAGACACCGAAAATATGACAAAGTTGTATCCTGAGTTCATGTGGATCTCTAAATATAAGTTGGAGTCTCACAAATATTTGGAAAAAGCATCTCTCATGCTCAAGGAAAAAAGCAATACAATTGTTTAGATTCTTTTTCCTCTTTTTTTGTTCTACGTTAGTTTACACTAGCTATTTTAAAGCAAATCAAGCAATTTGCAGTGCAATGATGTGTGTTAAGAATTATATTAATTTTACTCTATTGCTTTTGATAAGATTAATGCATAGCAGCAGACACAGGAAGATAATGGCAAAATTTCATTCTGCAAGAGCAGGGCAATGAAATTATTCTTTCCTTCTAATGCTCTGTTGTTCTTTGAAAGAGAAGAGGTAATGTAAGTTCAACCTACCAGTCTCATTAAAAAATGAGATAAATTACTCACTACAGATAATTTTTTTGACGTTAGGCATTAAGTAATGAGGTATAATATTAAAGAATTTTACTTCACTTCCCTTTTGAGTCACATTAGGAATCAATTTAGCACAGATGAAAAATGTCCAGATGCACTGAATAAAAAAATAGGGTACCAACACATTTACACTACAGAATCTAGAGAATAATCCTTTGAGCTTGGGTGGCAATATAGCCAATGCCTAATGTCTCCAACAATTATGTCTTGAAGCTCATTTCCAGATTTGTCGTTAAGGTTGAATACAAAAATTCCAGCACAAATAAATATTTCATTGCAGAACAAAAAAGGAACCCTCACCACAGGTTTGGTTCAATTCTGTCTAATGCAAACACTTTTATTTGCCACTTTTGTTCAAACACTACCATACTAGCATTTATGAAAATGAATACTTTCTATTTTGTTACACAAAGCATAATAGTCTGAAACAAGTTTAAGTATTGAAACAGGCTTTGCGAATTTATGCGCCATCAGCTCATAACTTATTTATATAAATAGCATTGTTTAGAATAACTAAAAAAAGAACACTCAAGGTAGAATCTGAGGGAAAAGTAAGATCTCAAGATAGAATCAAGCAGTTCAGCAGTTTTCTTTCAGCTCCAGCCACATCAACACCATGGGTTTCCACATAAATGGTCAAATGAAGTTAGATTCTTTCCTAAGTGGCCCACTGCCTATTCTAGCAATTATATTCTGCCACCTGGCAAGGCAGAAGAACAGTTGTCAACAGATGGAATGCCTTAATATTTGGCACGATTTGGATTATACAAATCATAACAACCTGCATGTATTCCTGCAAGACTTCTAAATCTTCAAAGAGTGTCAGGCTCTTTAAGAACACAAGAAAGCCCACCCTTCTTTCTAGCTTCTCCAGTAATACACATTTATGAGGATTTCTTGATTACACTACAAATGTACTTTTTGAATAAAGCCACAAAGCTCAGGATATTTTGGCAGCTCTTATATTTTGTAAAGTCACAGATCAAGATCATTTTCTGCATGTACACACACATGCACCTTCACACAGTCACACAAACAAAATATTGAATCCTGGTCTCATTGGACATCATGATTGCATCCAGAGGTAATATTATCTGAACATAAACCCATAGTTAACTGTAATTATGGTTTGTTGAAATAAATCAACCTTCACAAGTTGTGATTTGAATTTGTCTGCTTCAATGAATGAATCATACCTAAAGTTCACATTTGTCTGGGTCCAGCTTTCAAAATAAACTGTTTTGCTTATAAAAGGAAATAAACGTTTCCCAACTCCTCCGGGCATATTGAAAGAAAGGACTGGGAAGATTGCTGGCACAAGCCTCTTACAGGCTTTTTCTCATAATATAGCCTTTTGTATGAATAAGCTGACTGGATAACTAAAGCTATAAACCCAGTTCAAAAGAAGACAGGCAAGAATATTGGCTCATTTGCATGCAAGTAAAAATGACATTTTTCAATGGCTGCAACTAAAAGCACATTTCACAAGCTTTATTTTTCTTTTAAAACGAAGCCTGGGCTAAGAGGCAAGAAATTCTCAGTGATTCTGGCCAGGCTAAATAAAGAGGAGTTTACCAGCAAGCAGGTAATGACTGATGACACAATCCTGGATTACTTGGTCACTCCTCTGTTCACAGTATCAGTCCAAAAGGAACTCACAGCTCTGTAAATGCCACATTCAACAATCCATTACAACTCTTTGCCCCCTTAATATGTATGGACTTTTGCTGCATTCTGCTTTGGAGGAAACTCTTATATAGAAATGCTACACCGTCATCAATTCAGCAAAGAAATATTCCCATTATAATTATATATTTATATATATTTATATATATATATTTATATCATACTTGTAGATAAATAAATGTATGCCTTACAAGTTTGGTAACATTTTTAAAATTCTATTCTTAAATGCTTAAAAACTTTGTTATAAACTAACTAGAAATATTTTCCAATTCTTTTTAGTGTAAATTGTTTCTTTTTGGTAGATTTGAAAGTTATGATTAAAGCAGCATATAGATAGATATATTCACATCTATTATCCTCCCTACTTCATCCAGAAGAAACATGTGTGTGTGGCTTTGGGAGAATCTTGTCAAACTCTTAAACAAGTATGAGTTAATCTTTTCAATGAGTTTTGAATCTGTGTATCTTTGTGATCACAAAGAAAAATCACTGCTTGCTTTATCATGAATTGGGGAATGGAACAAATTCCTCAGTTAACATAAAAAAGAAATGCACACATCGGGAGGAAAGGGGAGAGCTTCGAACAATTTTCATTCTTCCTGCGAGCATAATCAAGAGTTTCATTTTTAGAAGCAAGAAATGCATGGAGTAAGAAGGCAAGATTGGCGAAATACTAATATTATACAAATCTAAGCATGTTCACCAAAAAGCTGTTTCTTTCTTTACCATAACATTATAATTCCTCTCTCCATTCATTTCGTGGCTCCACCACATCTCAAGCTTTCTCCTATAAGTTTTGCTTCAGCCATTTTAACTCCGTATAATCTATAATATTAGCATTATGCCAACTCTTCACCTTTATTCTACAGCATTGCTACTAAATACCACTAGAACTTATTTTGCAAATGTAAGACACTTATTTGAAATATTTGCTCTCCTGCACATGTAACCTTTTAGTTATAAACAGAATATTAAGAAACATGAGATGCATATTTGCTGGATTTGGCAGAGAGAGAGGAGAGAGAGAAAGTGAGATCTCCCCAACTTCATATGTGAAATATTATAGAAGTGTAAAGGAAAAGTTTTCATTGCTTACAGGAAATGGGAGCTTTTACCCCACTGAATTGTAGGAGCATGTTTTTTGCATGTTTTTCATATAAAAATATCAAACAGGGAAACAAAGACAAACAGGATTTCTTCTTCCACCGATATCCATCTATTTTGATATATAAATATTGCTGTTTCATTAGATCAAGTGCATGAGAGGCAAAGGATGACCTTTGGAAAAAGCCACTGTTTTAAAAATTCATCATAACTAGAAATCTACTTTTCAGTTTTTGCAGCACACATAGAACAAGTAAGAATTGTGACATGTTCTGCACTACCCATATTTCACAACTGAAAATATCATTCAAAGATGGCAGAACCTCATACTGCAGTTACTGCCTTCTTTTTCAGTAGCTTAATTACTTAAATATTGTGTAATCTTTAAAATACTGCTCAAAAAATTGCTAGCCTTATAACAAACAGGCAAGGCCACACATGTTGAAATGGCAAGCCCCCTCCCCCTAATAAAAGCCCTTAGGTAATGGGTCAATTTTTTAAAAGATACATCAAATGAAAATGAGATAAAATACACTTAGGCATGGTTGGTTATAGTACAACAGCCATTGTTCTCAAAAAAGAATTACCTGGGAAATAAGAGTGGGGCACAAAACAACAAAAACCAATTCCTGACCCCATGTATCTTATGGAGGTATAATGATTTTGATAAATACAGATGCTGATGCTCTGCGTACACATAGCTAGATCTCTGCAGTCCATAGGCCCACAGGATCTGTTGCCAAGAAATGAGAAAAATCTATTTCTCCTTGTTCACTACTGAATACTTAAAAACAAAACAAAACAGCCCACCCCTCCGAAGTTGTTAATCCCTGAATCAGAGGCTAGTTGACCCAGTTTTTGTTTTCTCCTTTCCAAGGAGATGGAGAAAAATAAGGGAAACCATAAGCACTTTAGTTACAGTACTGAATCTTTTCTGTTTTGGCAACCTCTCAGGAGTGTCTTCGTCCAGTGGCAACATTGCACAACCAACTATAGGAGCTCACCATCCCAGTGGGGTTTGCTTATCCTACAGAAGATCCCCTGATCCACTGGGCATCTGGTCTCAATCTGGCCCAGTAGTTGATACAGATCCCTGTGCCGTTTCCCCAGCCAGACCAGTTTCTTCCCGAAGAGGAGACTCTTCCTCGGCTTGCCCTCTGGAGGTGACAGTGGTCTCTGGAGAGATGCTGTGCGATCCCTCCAGTGGCATACAGCCGGGGTGATTCTTACGAAAGTGCTGGTTGAGGATAGCCTGGAAGGGGAAGCTCTTCCCACAGACATGGCAGTGAAAGGGCTTGTTGCCTGTATGTTTCCGGATGTGATACTCCAACTGATCCTTGCGGGTATACTTTTTGCCACACATCCGGCAAACAAAAGGTGTGATGCCCATATGAAGTCGCATGTGCCGGTCCAGACTACCCTTCTGGTTGAAGGATTTGGCACAGTAGATGCAAGTCAGACGTGGGTTGTAACGAAACCACCGTTCAGAAACTTCCTGTTCACGGAGATATTCTACATAGCCACTTACTCCAACAATAGCTGACTCCTCCACCTAGAACAGAAACATTATGAAGAAAAATAAATGTTAGCTAAATATGATGATGGACATTAACAAGAAGGCTTAGACATCTTTATGGTTGATCAGCGAAATCCAGATTTAGAAGCATTATTTCTCAGAGTATTAAAGACTAAGACAAAACAACAAAGACTGTTATGTTTATGCCTTGCCTGAAACTTCCTGGAATCATATGGTGATCACTGCAAAAAACAAGATATACTGTAGGACTAAATGATTTGACTGGCATGAATGTCAATGTACCATGGAAAGTTTTAATTTTAATACTCTACATGTAATTTAAAAATACATATACTAGAATATTTTTTTAAAAAATTAACCATGCTTTGTGTGGGATTGTCCTTGAAGTCTTCCACTTAAGCAAATTAAACAACCCCAGCAATTTTTTTTAGCACAGAGGAAGAAGTATTTTAAGGTCTAAAAGAGTCTTACATATTCATCAGTTGGACAAAATTAAAAATGTTTAGTTTGATTCACAATAATGTGGGACTGCCCTATTTCACTAAACTGTCCTGTGCTTATCATCCAAATCCCTAAGATGAAATAAAACATTTTCTGTATCCAAATGCAGAGGGTTTTCTTATGATGATGGGATGACTAAGGTTAAATTTCTAAAATGCAATACGCATGTTATAATTTTGCTTTTAACATTTTTCTATGTGCATACTGAGCAGATAGGGTTAGGAAACAAGATAAAATTCTGAAACGTAAAGAGGGTTTATTGCTTCCAGATACATTAGTAAGGTAAAGGTAAAGGTTCCCCCACACATACATGCTAGTCATTTCTGGCTCTAGGGGAGGTGTTCATCTCTGTTTCTAAGCCAAAGAGCCAGCACTGTCCGAAGAAGTCTCCGTGGTCATGTAGCTGGCATGACTAAATGCCAAAGGTGCATGGAGTGCTGTAACCTTCCCACCAAAGTGGTCCTTATTTTTCTACTTGCATTTTTTACGTGCTTTCGAACTGCTAGGTTGGCAGAAGCTGGGACATGTAACAGGAGCTCACTCTGTTACGTGGCGCTAGGGATTTGAACCGCTGAACTATTAACCTTCTAATCGACCAGCTCAGCATCTTAGCCACTGAGCTACTGCATTCCTTCAAGATACATTAGTAAAAGTCTGCTTATTAATTCACTGATTAATAGTGTTTAGATACATATAAAAACCAGTTTCTTCACATTCCTTCCCAAAATTCATTTGACCTATTTTATGAAGTACTTATACCCTATTATATTATAATATTATATTATTGTAATTAATAATAGAGCATGTCTAATTCACCACTAACCCACCATATAACACAGTAGCAGAGTGTGTCTGTGTGTGTTTGTGTGGATTATGCACACATTGCAGTAATCTACAGGTTAATAGATAGTGACTTTTGACTTCCCAGTCTAGGACTGAGAAAATGACTGACCAAATTCAATCAATTGGGCTTCCATATGTAAGACTAGAACCTTTCCATTCTTAGCACAGCACCTTAATACTTGCTCTATCTCTCTTCATCTCACACACATACACACACACACACTAATAACACATAAACACACACACCAACTGCAAAGTGCTTCTCTATAACTACTGTTATAAAACATCAGCATCATGATTATCATCACAGAGCTCACCAAGAGACACCTACCTGGGAACTGGGCTGCTTAGGTTCATCCATCCGCCATGGAGATTCACTTTTTGACCTGTACCGATCATTTACAGTAACCACACTACCAGAAGGGCTAAATCTGCAGAAGGAAAATGAGATTAAGAGCTGTTTGTGTAATATACAAATGCTCTAAAAAAAAAAGAAACAATGGAGATTCTACTTCATCACTAACTGATAATAGGGAGAATAGAGATTGGATAAAATATAAAGCAAACAGAAATAAATTAAGAAAACTATAAAATTATAAATGGTAGTTTAAAGTTTTATGAAGCAATTTAATTTCTCAACTCAAGAAATATCTTAGTATAAGAAAAGATGGCTTTGCCTGAAACAAATTTGTCAAAATAGAAATATGAGATTTGTACATTGCCTGCATATGAAGTACTAAGAAAAAAAAATACTTTTTAGAGTTTTTACAGACTACTAAATCTCTTAATTTCCAAAAACTGTTGCATAAAATGTTAAACAAAAAATTAGCATATCAAAATGTAACAAAAGCAGATTATATCTCATAATCAAACCACAGAGGCCATCTCCTACACAAGATCAGGCAGGGGTATTTCTTCAATATTTCCTATTATAGTTAAGAAAGAACATTCTCCAAACAAAACAGCTTAATTAGATTAAACTATCCTTAATCACTAAGATGACTATAAAATTATGTTTTAGTAAATCAAGTTTAGTTTTTCAAATCATGGTTTGTAGTAACTGTTGGCTGAAATTTAATAAATAAATAAATATAATATCTGAACTGGCAAATTAGTTACAGCCATTGCTCCAGAGGCTCCTTTATCTTTATCTTTTATTAGATTTATATACCGCCTTTCTCCTTTTAGACTCAGGGCGGTGAACAGCCAAAATAAAAACATTTGTACACAAAAGTTAAAATAATTTTAAAAATAATTAAATGAAATTTGGCCCATAATTTAAAACATTTCAATTAAAAATCAGTATCAAACTTTAAAACCAACATACTTAGATATGGGAATGCTGAGAAAAAAATAAACTTATTCAAACAAAACAAAAGCAGAAAAAATTCACTGATATTTGAGGAATCAACTGAAGAAAAGGTTACAATTTAGTCAGACCAAGTTAGAGATTTGAAATTTTCCTCATGACCTGCAAGCATGCAATTCTCTGTTTTTAAATAGAGAAAAATTCTGTCCATCTTACAAAAGTATCTTGCAATTTTTTGGCTATTACTAAAATTCTAGTTTTTAAAAGATTATCACATGATTTTTCACTGAATATTAGGACCTCACATTTTTTTCAAAGTTCACTATTCACTGTCTCTGGTAAATGCCAACTAATCAACATATCTCATTTATTTCAATATCCAGAGAATACTTTAAATAAAGTTTGGCCAGAGGCAAATTAAGTCCTACTTAAAAAGCTCTGTACATTTTCTTTTTAGAAGTTGAACTCTCACTATCATACTCTTAATTGGCTCTTTCTCCAGTTCACTACTTCTTCACTTTCTGAAGTTATAGACTACATCCAATTACTGTATTTTTCGGAGTATAAGATGCACCAGAGTATAAGACGCACCTATCTTTTTTGGTGAGGTAAAGAAGAAAAAGAAATCTCCCTCTGCCTCTGCGCAATTTTGCCTCATAACAGCAAACAGCCTGTTTTACTTTCATTTTCAGCATAGCTTGATTAGCACAAGGAAAAAAAATCTGGTTTAGCAATTTACCTCTTTGCAGCAAGCAGCAGAGCCCTGTGAAAAACAGCTGAGAGTCGGGAGGCCGATCCAATCAACTTGTGCTAATTAGGCTGTGCTGAAGCTGAAAGGAGCTGTTTTTTCTTGCTGTTTGCTGCGAGGCAGAGACCAAAGGGGGCCAGTGGGTGGGTGGGCTACATTCAGTGTATAAGACACACCTAAATTTTCACCCCCTATTAGGGGGGAAAAGGTAGCCTTTTTTATATGTTTTGTTCCACTTCAATGATTTTAGATTATGAGTTTTACACAGCAGGAATTAAGCCTGAAGTATTCTAACATTTTTACAGTACCTTTGACATGGCAAAGGTAGACAAAGACACAGTATTAGTGTTAAAAAGCAATAGTCTTACCTGTCTGTTTCAGTGCTGGTTGGCCTGGCCACTTTTGTTCCTGATGAGCCCAAAGCGTAACTTTCTTGTCCCACTGATCCATGTCCTGTTGTATCAATCACCATGGCAGTGACCTCCTCAGCACTGCTCCCATCTTCTCCAGATGGCTGATTCTCTGCCCCCAGCCACTCCTCCAAGTTTTCTGTTTTGATTCGCACTGCTCCAAGGACTTTAACATCATCATCCCCCTGCCCACCATGGTCTGCCACTCCTGTCTCTACATACCATTGACCTGCCCTATTAATCCTCAGTATGGGTTCCCGGCTTTCCACATCTGAACTCTGTTCAATTATTTGAGGACTTGTAGACTCCTCAGGAGGACTCAGTTCCCGAATATCCAGAACTGTACTAACTTGGCCCATACGGCTGCCTTTTGGAGTGCTATGATGAGGACTCAGAGAACGATTTAGAGACGGGGAAGCTCGATGAGATTCTGGGGGCCTTTCTTGATGCTTTGCTCTTGTTTGGCTCAATTCCATTTCAACTTCAGCCACATTAATTTTGAAATGAATTCCCTCCAGGATTTGTGTACATTTGTCTATTATATGTTGCATTTGTAGAAAACTAGCTGCTGTCAGGTAACTTATTATATCAGCAAGCTGGAGGCATATTCTCCCTGTGTAGCAAAAAGAAAGGAGCTGCTCAAACACAGTGGGATTTTTGATAACAGAGATGGAGACTGTGCTCATTTCGTTGAGTGACATATGATCTCGAAAATAAGGTGAGCTAGCAGCCAGCACTACCTTGTGCGCCCTAAAGGCTTGGCCTTGCACATTAACCACAATGTCACACAGCCGGCCCTGCATGCGAAGCTGGTTAAGATGGCTCAAAACAGAATTGCTGAAATCAGGAATCTCCAACTGAATGTTCCCACTTTTCTCCATGATGGCTCCAGTTGCAGGTGGAGCAACCCTAATGATGGAAAAATACACCGCTGAATTAGAAAGAGCTTCTCCATTTCTACATGTTTTGTAATGCATGACATTTAAAAAAAAAAAAACACAACTTTTTCATATCAATTTGCATGTGATTTTTGTGAATGACACATTTTCTTGTTAAACAGCTATGCAGAAAAAACACAGAATGTTGGCAATTGAGTAGTAAATGTTCTTTTTTCTCAACTGTTTCTCTTAACAATATTGCCATTGCTCAACATTCCAACTGCAATTATGCCAGCTAATTAACAATGTTACCAATAAAGGAAATAGGTAATGTTACATTATAAGATAATGTTACTTATTTCATGAACTGAACTGGAATTTTCATCTAGTTTTTCAGTAATTAGTGGGAAGATATGAATAAATGTTTTAATAGCTTTCTGAAGGGCAAAACAATAAAATTATCCTCTGGCCTAACTTGTAACGTTTAACGAAAACAGTACAATGTATATACATTATTTCCAACACTTTATACATAGGATCTGACTTCTGCCATCCCTCTTGATAATCAAAATCTCAAATTAAGATGGAAATTCCATCAAAGGTTTAGGGCAAATGTAAACAATTTGGTTTATAATGTTGATAAAGGGGCCTCTCCAACCTGTGCAGTACTGTGAGGCATCTATGTAAGGATACAGCAGACTACTAATTCGCATGTCATTTCATTGTGACCAATCATGGTAATATACCTTTCACTCACTAATACACATAGAATTGATACTGATAAATAAAAATTCATTGAAAATAAAACTATATTTATTTTATATTGACGAACAATAAAAATTTCCATTATAGTAAACTCTGTAGTCAGCTTATATATTAGTCAAGGTGATAGTTAATGCAAGAATGGTATACTGCATGTGTGCATGTATTCAATATGTTTTTCAAAGTCACATAGTAACATTACCTATAAAAACTGTACCTTCCATATGCAAATAAACTCTTTACTATCTAGCCAGGTAATGATATTCCTGGTAGTTATACTAATTCGGGGGGGAAAAAAAATCAGAAGACATCAGAATGGATTTCTTTTAAGAATACTGCAAGGATATATGGATATGAAAACAGCTTATGCTGACAAAACATTATGAATGTAGCAACAAATACCATACAAGAATAAATCTTGCAAATTGAGGGGCTAGGAAAGTTATTTGCCACTTCAACATAAAAAGCAGCATGTTGTACCTTATTTATTTTGGGTATTGTAAGGTTGATCAGTTCATCTTTATCAGGGGTGTCCAACTTGTGGCCCACAGGCTGGATGCGTCATGTGCTGGCCCCGCCCCCGTCCAGTTTAACGAAGGGGAAAGAAGTCCTGATACATCAAATGACACTACTGTGATGACACAAGTTTGACACCCCTGATCTATATCTATGTTATATTTTTCAGACAAGTTTCCTTAGATTCACTCTTATTTAATTAATGTATGCAGCCTGTCCTTCCAATATTTCTTCTGCAATGAACAGACACAGTTGGAATTCTACTTTCACCCATGGCAAGAAGGGTTTTGGTATGCTCAATGCGTGAAAAAAGGATAGAAAATATCAGCTATTACAGTCCTTTTTTCATTAGCAATTAGCAATAATTAGCAATTATTAATAATTATTTCAATTATTAGGAACAAAATACATTATATCCTTCTTTTATTTAGTATTCTCCATCTGCTTCTATTTTTTCAATAGTTCTTTTCCATTTTTTATGAAAGAAAAAAAAAGATTGCGGTATTATTAACCTTGTTTATTTATTTAGTGTATGGCAACATTAATCTTGGATTGATATCCAGTTCTAAACACAAATCTCTTATTGGAGTGACACAGGATACTCAGTATTCACTCTTAATTATGTTTCCTTATGGTAAGGTAAAAATTATGGTAAAATATTCCGTAATTTGAAATTAGTTTTATGAGCTTTGAACATGGACTTTTATACTTACAGAGAATTAACAGAGCCTGATAGATGCTTTATAATTCTTTATTTCTATTGTATTACAAAAAGGAACATCCATTAACTGTATTTTATTGCATTAGTCTACTACGGTATTGCAGGGACACAATAGTGAACACTTTTAGAATTGCTAATAATAAAGTAGTAAAACAAGTAAACTTCAGTCTAAAAGCAGATAGATATCAGCAATAATTATATGCAGACTGTTATGCACAAATTATAGAAACACAATGAAAATTAACAAGATGCGTAAAGACCTCATGAATCCATTGTAGGAATACCGTAGATGTTGTACAGATTCTTCTGAGCAAAGTTTCTTAAAATGTACAGAATAGCCTTTCCATGTTGCTCTAGTCCATGACTGTCAAACTCCCGGCCTGTGGGCCAGATGCGTCATGTGCTGGCCACGCAGACACGCGGTTTAGCGAAGGGGGGGAAAAAGTCCTGATACGTCATGTGATGCCGTGACAACATTAGTTTGACACCCCTGCTCTAGTCTATGTATATAATTTATGAAGCCATAGACTTTAAAAAATAGAATATTTTTACCATGAAGTGAAGTGATAAACCATATTAATTATGTGACTTTCTAATTTTAGGAAATATAGTTTAAATATATTACAATTCAAAGTTCATTTTTTTTAAAAAAAGGAAATTTAAAATCTTTTTATCAAATTTTCCTTTCCCTCATATACACCTGCTCCCATATCCTGATTCCAGACCAGATCTATGTTCAGATGTCCAACAATAAGAAAAGCCAAAGTGAAACAACAGAATTCCATGCAGTCGAGCTTCAACTGTGGCTAATCAAATATTTTCATGAAGGCAATAAGGCTGATGCTTCATTATTCAATAGCATTTACACTATTTCTACATTTGTTAAAATTGTTTCTTTATGAACATTTTTCTTATAAATCCATGTAAGCTATTGTAAGCAATTAATTGCATATATTTATTTTATTCTCCTGCAGAATTGTTATTCTGGTTTGTCCTAACCCTACTGCTGATCTGGAACTTTGGTTGGCTCTGTTAATTAAACAGGAAAAAAAAATTCCCAACATTACAAACGATTAGAGAAATAAACTTTTTTTCAGTTTTTTCAAAAGAAATCAGACAATTTCTCCACACTACACATAATTTTAATGAAGTTCTATAACATCTCTTCGCACAAACAGCGATACATGCAGACTAAAGAGTAAACTACTGAATTCATTTTGGAGTATTTCTAAAGAGGCATGCAGGCAAGAGCAGACTACAAGGCAGCATTTAATCCTCCTTCCAACTTTCTAAACCTTTCTCTCCACAGAACCCCTTTCTTAGATCCAAATACTCCAAAAACCTGGGCAAATTGCAACGAAACAAAAACACTTTGCTCTTAACAAAAAGTACCTGAAGAGGACAGTTAATTAAAATAACCAAACTGAGGGAGGAATGTATGGGTGAATCAAAAGGCAAGTACAGTGACTGCAAACTGACAGATTTCAGCGGATTTGGGGGGAAGGTGCAAAAGATCAAGGAAGAGGAGGACAGGCAACCTTGTACAGAGAAATATCTTTTAGGAGGAGCAAACTCCGTTGCTAAGATACAGAAGGGGAAAAGTGAGACTAGAAATTCGGGGGGGGGCATGCAGAATCCACACCGTCCTTTTGGGAAGTACCCCACAATGACTGTCCTCGAGTGCGCCCGAGGGTGGGAAGAAAGGAGAGAGAACAACTCTCCCGAGCTCCTTCCCTTTCCCGAGGGGACCGAAATACATCGCCTACGTACCTCCAAGGGGGGGGTGGGACGAGCCCGAACACCCTTCCGGAAGCGAACCCCCCAGAAGAGAAACGCCCCGGAAGTACATATCCCCCTTCGTCTTTGTTGATTGACTTGCTTTCCCCCCAGCCCCACTGAAACAATCTTCGCGTCAGGTAGCCACACCCACAGGAATGAGCCCACCACGGAGAGGGTGGAACCTGCGCCTGGCGGACTGCCTGGGTACTTGTGGCGCTGAAGCGGGTGGGGTGGGGGGAAGTGGGGGACTGTTGTGCGTAGGAACCATTTTTTCTAGGGAGGGGTAACGGGAGGAGGAGCTATGCAAAGAAGCGTGCCCGTCACGTGACCCCCGTGAGCTACACAGCGTGTATAAAAAGGGTGGCTGCGGCCTGCGCTTTCTCTTTTGGAATCTGCCTTTGGCTGCGGTGTTATGTAAGTATTGTAATACCCCCCCCCCCCAAATAAGTGTTGCTTTGCTAATTTCTATAGAGGAGTTGGGCCTTTAAAATGTAACGTTGATTGTGGATGACCTTGGGGAGGCACGGATGGCGTTGGATTATAGCACGCATTCCGTCCCCCCCCCCCTCATGTTTAGTTCTGCTGGCCGTTGAGCATAGATGGCGCTGCAATAACGGCTCAAAGGAACAGCCTTTCCAGATGGGCCTCGTGGTTGGGGAAAGCATAAAACTGATGATCTAAAAAGTTGAAAATGTTGAAAACTAATCCCTCACGGAATAAATAATGCTAGCTCCCCTTATTAAATCGGCATGCAAGTTTTGCGTTGAGTTTCCTCGGTAGGCCAGAGAGTAAAACTCAAAAAAGGAACTTGATGTACTGAGACGGTGAGCTCCAGCCTCTCTTCGCGTTGATCTTCGGATGGATCCGAAGTACGTGATGCAGAGATCGATCTCTGATAAACTATTTAAAGCTGGTTTTTTTTTTTTAAACTTAAATGATTTGCGGGTATTTACTGCAAAACATGGATTTAATTACATTGGAAAACAACTTAGGCACCTTCGGAGTAATACCCCAAAAACACGGTTTTTTCGTACCTGCAAATGATGATAAATTACGTTGGTAGGGACATCTGAGACTGTGATGAATGCCAACAATTTCTGAGCAGGATTAGGATCTTAATTTAGGTGTGGCAAGGATTACTCATTTCCAACTGCCTGAAAATTTATGTTCTGATTCCCCAAAACATTAATAAATCGAATTTTTTTAAGTAAGGGAAAGCATCAAAACTCCAGCTATTTTTCTATAAATAAGCTGCTCCAACCTCAACTACCCTGCATTTTATGCCTAACAGATCTGATGGCACTAATATTTAATTTTGATAAGATATTGATGAATATAATCTGATCCCAACCTTACTTAAACATTACTTAAGAAATTTTAGGGAGGGGAATAATTTTTCAGTTAGATTCAGCTTTATTCAGATGGAATCTTCCCTAATGATTGTCTTCATCTAATTCTAATGACTTGTGTCACATGGCCGTTTTAGCAATGGCTACTGCAATAATGAGGATGTATGACACAGGTTGCTTAGGCATCAAAATGTTGATCAGTTGGCAGAGGGAAAGCATGGATAAAAAAATACATGAGAGAAAACTCATTCCAATTACATATTTCATAATTCATAACAAGCAACTTCTATATCTGATCTGAATTATGACTCACACAATAACTGCACATTGAGAAACCTGTTTATTGAAAGGCTATTAGTGTGAAACACTTGATAATGATAATCGATAATAATGACATTTCAAAACTACAAATTTTGAATCATTTCATCTTTGTCTTTTGGAAGCGACCATGAGATGACTCATTTTTGTCCTGATGTAATTTTTTTTTTTTTTTTTTGATTTGATTTATATGCCGCACTTCTCCGGAGACTCGGCGGCTTACAATGCGTTAAGAAATTTGCACTGATAGTGCAAGTAAAAAAATCATGTTTGTGGCAAGGAACAAGTTGCAGTAATATTTGAGGCATTCCATCCCGCATCTACATCCAATTTAACTGAAAGTGTGAGGAACTTGCTGCTTTTGCTTGAAAGTTGTAGGCTAAACTGAGAAAGTTTTATACAGTAGTCCTTATTCCCTTCCTCAAAGAGGAAGCAAAGAGTCCTCATTGTTGGCAGTATAATTAGTTTTAAGGCTGCAGGTCAAAAGGGAGCTTGGATTTCTAAATATTCCCAATCAAAATACTGCCAACATTTATTAGGTCTATTTTGTTTTTAAAATAATTCTTGTCTGATAAATGCCTATTTCCTTTGTAGATACAAAATCTCAAGCCAATGCTGTCTGTAAAGGTATGTTTCTGTTCTTGTGGTACATACAGAAAGCTAAGTAAATAAAAAGTACCTTTAGTTGTGCCTTTGTGCCATAATGATGATGCTTATTTGCTACTCTTGAAAAAATAATGATGAGAACGCTTAACCCACCTTTGTTTCAAACTGAGGCACAATCTATGCTCTTAAAAAGAATCTTCATCCCTTTTGTGATTTGAAACAGACTTTAAAATATTTGCTGTTTTCTTTACAGGGTTTCACAAATGATTCTATGATCATGGAACAAGGATTGGTAAGTTGTAAGATATAAATAGTCTGTTAGGTTATTTTGTCCAAGGAAGGATGCGTGTGATGAAAACATAGTTCAGCAGATAATTTATGATGAACTCTTTGTCTTTCGCTCCTATCTGATGCATCCTCTATTTAAAGATGGTCTGCTCCTAGATTGTTCCTCTTACAGATAGGCCTACTTCGAGTAATTGCTCATTAAAAACCCCTCTGACCTCAACAGTAACTTGGTAGCTGATTAACATTTTTTAGATTTCTGCTGGTAAACATGAAAATTGTATCGTTCCACTGTATTCACTTAACTATATCTGAATTTAAAATAAATTATATGTTCCTTCCACAATATTATATTCATGTTGTATGTCCTAGCAGCTAAACTGAATATCTCTTACAGATTCTGTGTTTGCAAATATGGGAACACTACCCACTGATGTGCTGGCCTTCGGGTTCTCTAATATGGATCAACTTTAGATGATGAAACATGTAAGTTGTAAAGAAAAAAATATATGATCTATTACAGGCTTTTTTTGCATTACCGGGCAGTACTTTATGAACAGTTTCAATGTTACCAGAAAGATTCTTGGGTATTCTTAAATTGTCACAGTCCTTTATTATGAGTTCTTATTTAATGGTTCTTTATTTACAACAAGATCATAGTTGCATTTGTGTATAGTTAAACTGGCAAGCATCCTAGTTTCGTTAGTCTTTGTTAAGCATTATTTAATAAATTTGCACACTGCCAGACTCCCAGTGATTCTAGGTGATTTATAAATGAAAAACAAGAAAACAATAGTAAAAACAAGGAACAAATAAAACCAGACAGCAACAAAAAATGCCCATTCTTATAACAAGGCTGTACCCCATCTTTTTTTTTTATTGCAAAAGTTTTACAATTACATTTTCACCCCTTTCCCCCCCCCACCCACCCCCCAAACTTCCCAACCTCCCTAACCCTCCCCTCCCCCCAGACTTCCCTATAATGTACTCATAACTGGTAAAGAAAGATAAAAAAAACACACACAACCCCCCCCTTAATATAACACTTATATAAAAACTTGAACCCCTCCCTCCCCTTTATAATTTTTCTTTTTACCCTCATTACATTAAAATATTTCTAATACATTATTTTCAAATAAAAGCTATTTGATACTTTCTAGTTTGATATTTGTTCTGAACATATTCTATCCATCTTTTCCATTCCCTTTCATAAGTCTCTTGTGAGCAATCTTTTAAGTATGCTGAAATCTTCAAGGCTGTACCCCATCTTAATCAAAGAGCCATGAAGAGCCATGTCTTTAAGGGCCTCTAAAATGCTATCAAGATGGGGGCCACTGGTTTTTCTGTAGTTATTACATATTGAGTTTGGAATTCATTCAATTTGCCAAACAAAAGGAAAAAACAAATTGAGCCATGGTTCTAAATTGAAGAATGATCTTTCATGCTTGGGATCTGTTCATTTTCTCTGACTTGCATCTTCCACCTTTTAAAAGTTGTATTGGATTCTTTTTGCTAATTTGTTTTGCTGATCTGCAATTACGACACATCAGCTGTGTTGCTTAGAAATGTAAAGCAAATTTGCTGATGCAAAGCATTTTAATTGCGTCCATTCATCTTTAATTTATCTGCAACAGCTAATGTTCAAACAATTGGATTGGGAGCTAAAAGGACAAATGTATACTACTGTATATGATGCTGAATCAGGTCGCTGATACATATGAGGATAAATTGAATATACACTGATACAGTAGATCACAGCACGGTTTGGAAGAAAAAATGTTTTGTGAAGAAAAATTAGGCTAGAGGCTAAGAAAATAATTCTCTTTACAGGTCTTAATGGGATTGAGCTGTCTCTGAAGAACCTCAAGAAAAGGCAAGTTGAAATACAGAAAGTTGATTTACTGAGCAATATTATAAAACATTAAAGATATTCCTTTTTTTAGGACTAATATTTGGTATTTTAGTTCAATGCTGAGAAACTTTTTCTCCAAATTTCTGTCAAAAATTCCTCCAATTCCCTATATGCCTGTAAGGAAGGAATTCTACTGTACTGCATAAAACTAAAGCTAAACCAGTTGCGTCCCTTTCTGGATCGGGACTCCATATGCACGGTCACTCAAGCACTCGTCACTTCCCGCCTGGACTACTGCAATGCTCTCTACATGGGGCTCCCCTTGGGGTGCACCTGGAGGCTGCAGTTGGTCCAGAATGCGGCCACGCGGGGGATTATGGGAGCGACGGGGCGCTCACATATAACACCTCTCCTGCGCGAGCTGCACTGGCTTCCTGTGGTCTTCCGGGTGCGCTTCAAGGTGTTGGTGACCACCTTTAAAGCGCTCCATGGCTTAGGGCCGGGGTATTTGCGAGACCGCCTTCTGCCGCCAGTAGCCTCCCACCGACAGGTTCGCTCACACAGAGGACCTCCTTAGGGTGCTGTTGGCCAGACAGTGCCGGCTGGCGACCCCCAGGGGGAGAGCCTTCTCTGTGGCATGACCTGCCCCCTAAGATACGCACGATATCAGACCTCAGGACTTTTCATTGGGCCCTGAAAACACACACATTCCATCTAGCCGGGCTGGCTTGATCCCATCCTCTCAGTTTTTAATTGAATTCAGTTTTAATTGGGTTGTTTTAAACTCGGGCCAAAATTATTTAATCGTTTTTTAAAATGTTTTTTAAATTTTATATTGCTATATTTTATCTTGGCTGTACACCGCCCTGAGTCCCGCAGGAGAAGGGCGGTATAGAAATAAAATTAAATAAATAAATAAATAAAGCAGGAAATTGCAGCCAGCATTTCTTCTAAGGACTTTTAGGGAAGACTGAAGAGGGGCATGCAAGCATGTTGGGGATATCCTGTGAATTTAAGCAGACTGCTAGATATGCAAATTCAAGGGCAGTGGCTAAGGGAGGTGGGCAACAAAGCACCGAGATTGATACGTATGTCAGTAGTGTAGGGTAAGGTACATATAAAGGTTAAATTTCAGTATAAAGTAAATACAAAAATCATCTAAGAATCAAAAGCCTGGCAAAAAAGTGCATTTTTACAGAACATTGGGTGGAATCAAACATTCCATTGTCTGAAAGCAATTTAGAATGTCTTCTCCCATCTGTCAGAAAGAGGCCTTCCAAAGAGCTTCATCTGCCATATGAAGGTTTGTCACGGGAGAAATTGTTCCTTTGATAGGTCCTACCTAAGCCATTTGGACTAACTCTAATAAAAGTCTTAATCATCTGTAGGTTTTAATTTTAATTGCCAACGTTAGATTCGGCCGTTACCGGAAAATCCCGTATGACAAAAGAACATGCATATGTGGGGTAAACCGTCGTGGAGGACACGGCGCATATAATATTCGAATGTAGGCTGTATGAGGAAGTAAGAAAACAATATCTGTCCCCAATTATAAATAAATTTCCCCACTGGAATATAAGGCATAAATTAGCATTTCTGTTGAAGGCTGACTCTCCTCCCCTGGTAAGAGCTATCAATCGATATCTTAAAAGGATGACAGCAATACGAGCCAGTTATATCGAAAAAAATTTCATTGATTGTAAGAAAGATGAGCTGAGTTAGAGAGGAGCTATCTTATTTGGGTTATCTAGTCTTGGCAACTTAGCTATTGAAATCTGATATTGTACAATTTTAATGTCATATATCATATATTTTTAGATTGTTATTTTTGTAACTGTTTTGTCTTTTTCCCTTTTTCTTTTCTGTTTTGTTTGAAAAGGCCTTCGGGCTATTCAATAAACAAATACAATACAATACAATTTATTTTTTTTAATTTGATTTATATGCCGCCCTTCTCCGGAGACTCAGGGCAGTTTACAATGCGTTAAGCAATAGCCTTCATACTTTTGTATATTTATACAAAGTCAGCTTATTGCCCCCACAAACTGGGTCCTCATTTAACCTACCTTAGAAAGGATGGAAGGCTGAGTCAACCTTGAGCCTGGTGAGATTCGAACTTACAGTAATTGCAGACAGCTGGTGTTAATCACAATGCTATTAGTCTGCTGAGCCACCAGGCCCATTTTAATTTTAATTGCTGTTTTTATAATCTTTTATTAGTAACCATAAAAATGGTGGATGCTAACATAAATTGTGATGAGTAGAACAATAACAAAATTCTACTGAAGCATTTTTCCGTTTGATCCTGTCTATTTCTGTGGCAAATTGAATATTGCAAATTGCTGGAAATCCATAAAGAATTTCCAAAGTCTCCTGGGAAAAATTTGAGCAGTATTTCTTGCATATATGTAGCAGATAGTTCTTATGTGTTAATTAAAATATACTTGTTATTTTTTAAGCATTTAATGCTGTTAGCCTGCATGATGAGAAGCTAATAAAACTGACTTTAAAGATGGAGGTCTGATTAGCTCTACCTGACTTTGGGCACCTATCTGGATCTTCCATGATTAAAAAAATCATTTTCTTAGCTATCATCAACCTTTCTTTCTCTTTAGGACTTGGAGTAACACAAGGAGTTGTTTAAGAGCAAAACTGCTGACAGCGGTAAGCTACTACTGATATCAGCTTAACCATGTGGATTTACTGCAAGAAATTGCATAGTGTTTTGCAAACAGGATGTCCTTAAAAATAATATAAGTTTTAATAATTCTATATTAATAAATGTGAAAATGCCTGTTTGATAAGATATCCTAAAGATGAGTTCAGAAGATTATTCTGCATAGAGCTCTGAAAACCTCCCAACAGCATATCTGTCATGGTCACCATTCTGCTAGCATCACTTTGCATTCTGCTCCCTGACATTTTTGCAGTGGGGGAGGGAGAATGGAATGTGGGAGAACAAGTGGGTCGGGGGAGGGAGGGGCGCCAAGCAGTGCCAGCCCAACAAGGAAGAAGTGCCAATCCAGCCCTAAAAGAATGTGGAGATGAAGCAGATGCACACAGTCTGCTACCTAAACAACCTGAAACTTCAATGGGTCAAAGACTGATTGGGGGGGGGCAGGGAGTCCCAGGGAAAAAGAACGTTATGTGTATTGTTTTTGCACTAATTCAGCAGATTCCGCTTTGCTACTTCTGTAACCACTTTTGCTTCAGGAAAGTATAATCTTGGTCAAAAGAATGGTCCAGGGGGTCTTCCTTTACTGAATGGGACGGATGACAATATCCTTACTCTTTTTGGTTACTGTTTAACTTTTCTGAGTTTGGCTATGTAGTCCAGTCAAAGTTTTATTGAAGACCTAGAAACCGGTCCATGGAATTCTGTGGAGTACTTCTATCTTCAAGATTGATCTGTTAAACCTTAGAATAAAGGTTAACCTTAGCAAAGCTTTTGTTTGTTTGTTTATTTGATTTGTATACCGCCCTACTCCCGAAGGACTCAGGGCGGTGAACAGCCAACAATAAAATACATAAATACACAAAATTTAAAAACCTGATAAAATCAAATTAAATTATTTGGCCCAGACAAATTAAAATACCCCAATAATTTAAAAACAGATTAAAATTTACATATTTAAAAAGGGAAGAGATCAGGCCAAGCCCGCTTGATGGAATAAAAAGGTCTTCACAGCACGGCGGAAGGAGCGCAGATCCGGGATCCTCCGTATCTCCGGGGGGGGGAGCTCATTCCAGATGGTAGGTGCCCCCACAGAGAAGGCTCTCCCCCTAGGGGCCGCCAGTCGACACTGTTTGGCTGACGGCACCCGGAGGAGTCCCTCTCTATGAGAGCGTACTGGCCGGTGGGAGGCTATTGGTGGTAGTAGGCGGTCCCGTAAATAACTAGGCCCTAAGCTGTTTATTTATTTTTTATTTTATTTTTATATATTTATTATTTTATTATATTTATTATATTATGAAATACCTGAACTGAAATTGGGATGTGGGTGAAAAAAATATTACTTTGTTTTTGTAATACAAAACTTCCAATGTTTTGTGTTTGCGTATATAAACGGGTATTTTTTTTATATTAACTAGGTTTTGAGGATGGAATTGGATTGAGGTAAGAGTTTAGTTTTCATTTATTCTGTATTAATGGTTTGTTCAAAGCTTTCTATCAACTTGTAACCAGTGATGAGATTAGATTCTGCCAGATGAATACTCATGATATTAGCATCAATCCGTTCCACTTTTCACTGAGGTTACATTGTTCAGTCTTATGATTAGGCATTCAGAGAAAATAATTGCTTTCCCAAGTTATCACTTTAACTTACTGATTTATATTTAAAAGTACCTTCTTCCTACTCCTCAAGAACATAAGATTGTAAATGGGTTATTTTGTGTTAATTCTGCAGCTATAGCAATGTATAATTCTAGTCAGCATATTTTAAGTTTGGTTATTTTCCACCAGGAAGTAGGTTTCCTTACCCAATGTTGGAGCAAAAATTAGAAAGGAATTAACTGAAAATATTTCTGAGTCTTTTTCTACAGTTTTATAATAAATGTTTTTTCATTTCTCAAAAACTGAATAGATGTTTACTGTTTTACGGAAGCTCTTGAACAAGGTCAGTATATTTTTATTATTAATTATTCAGTCTTGAAAGTTGATAAAATTATGGGTGAATGACTTGCAGGCTGAATGCTCCTATTATACCTCTAATATCTTCGCTATGAATTTCCCCATGTCAGATTTCATGACAAAAGTATTAAAGGTGGAATGAAAATTGACTAAGACTAGATGTGATGTTTTCATTTTTGCATAATCCGCTCCTCCCAAATACCTCACTGGAATATTCCTGCACCAGAAATAGCAATCCTGCCTGTGTGAATGGTATCAATGCCCCATTGGGCCTCCACTCAGTTCTATAAAAAGCAATCTTGTAAAAAGAGTAGGGACACCTCAACACAGGCAAAAAGGATAATGTTTCCAAAATGGGGGGGGCACATTTGCTGCCTGTTTTGTTCCCTGACTTCTGAAAGAAAACATACCAACGAACATTAGTTTGATTTTGCTGGAAAAGCCTATGATGTTTTAAGAGTAGTGGACAGAAACTTTTCTGAGAACTGAAAACACTGAGGCTTTATGTTGCTGATATTTAGTGATATGTCATGATACCATAATTTAGTTAAAAACCTGAGATCAAATGAATTGCTAGTCAAATAGTATCTGCTTTGCACAATTACATAAACTGTTGGCTTAGAATATTTTTCATTTCAGATTAGTTTAAAGACAGTGGCACCTGATGGATAGATTAGTTTTGACTTCACACTATAATGGTAAGCTCATATTTTAAAGGGTTGTAAGGGGGCATTAGATTTCCAAATGAAGCAGTTTGTGTTCTCTGGTCTTGTTTTGTGTTAAAATAAATGTTTCCTTTGTACTGTTAATGATGAAATTGGAAAGAACAATGGGAATCTCTCTGAAAAATAGTGAAGATACAATTTTACTGAGACAGTACAAATGATGTGAACTAAATATGTTGTGTTATATTATAATATATAAAATTAGCATTAAAAAATTGGCTGGTTCTTGAAATAAACCTGTGTATTCCAGTTTGAAAGTCTTTAAAAAGCACCAAGAATTGCCATGTGTGATCCTGGCTTTGCAAGATGTATAAATGTTGTATTTTAATTATTAGAAACTGAGCTGTCTTAGCAAAAAAAAAGTACTTAAGAGGCAGAAAATATAAGAATTACAGCAAATGCCATAGTTTGTTCCCATGTGGCTCAAGGTAGCTGAATTCCATTTCGTATCTTCTGCCATAACATAATTTAAGAGAATGGAATTGTGGGGACATGCAAAATAATTTTGATGTTAAATGAACATTTGCAGAATGGCCTATCGCAAGTGCAAAATGAGATTTTCAAGTAAAATTTGAATTGGAATCTACAATGCTTTGAGCTGGAAGCTGATCTGTTAATTGAAACAGCTTCAGTTTCACGGGAATTTAAAATTGTGACATCTGGATGAAAATAAACATCTTGCCATCTTTCTAATTAACAGTAGAGGCTACTAAAGCCTGTTAGCTTTCTTTAGCTTTTCAAACAGGATTTCTCCTTGTTTTTAGCAAAATAATGAAGTTTTGTAGAGGTATTATAAATTTGTTTGTGGCCACAGTTCAACCATACATGGAAGAAACAATGCAGGTAAAAAGTCAATTTTGTGCAATAGTTAGAAGTAAAAAGTTAATGTCTGTGTCTGATTTCTAGGTAGTTGATGAACTGACATTTGGCTTTCAAGGTATGTATACCTTACTACACTAGCATGTTTATTTCTTGAGAATGGTGAAATGATGATACCCCAATCTTGAACTCTCTCTCTGAATATGTGATGGAATATCCAAGATCTGACCCATTCACATTTAATATTGTTTTGTATCTCTAAATGGGAAATAGATTGGCTTGATTCCTTTTCCTTTTTCTCTTTCCAGATCTGAGAACCTGTCCAGAAATTACTATTTTCAAATACATTGGAAGATATTTTGGAATTGGGCGTGGGTGCCAAGAGTCCTGGATAACTACTGCTGCTTCATTACTGGGGGGATGATTCATGACTCCGCTGGCGGCTTTCTGCCACCTAGTCGCCGTGAGAGGGCGGCTGCGGCTAATTCCCCCGGATTAAAAAAAAAATTGTCGCAGTTGACTTAACTTTTCATTGCTGTGAGAGAGCGGTGAATCTTTTTCCGGCTTTCCCACAGCCAGCTGCAGTGGTACTGCATCGGCCGTCTCCTGCTTACCATCTCCGGCGCCCACAGTCGCCTTTCATCTACCCCCTATATTTCTTCAACTGGCTTATACTTCGGTGGACCTCCTCTCGCTGCGAGATGCTCCCCTCTCGCGGTCATGGCCTTCCTATTTATCGAAGGCCTACCTCAATGATGAGTTTTGGAAACCCGAGTGGTGGCATGCTCCAAAGCGGGGCCTGAGGGGCTTTTTAATTAGAGTTTTTAACCAAATTTTAAGGGGACCTGGGAGGCGGGTGGGGAGGAATGAGCCGGGGGTGGCTCTTATGGTTCAGCAACCTGGCCCGTCCGATGGTTGGGGGGGGAGTGGGAGGGAAAGAAGAAGCTAGGTGGAGAGAGGGTCTTTCAATCCCTGTGATGGTTGGGAGAGGCAGGCAATGTGAGAGGAGGGGTTATGGAGATAGCCGCCGTTGTGTCCAAACGGTGGTGTGCTCCCCCCCAGGCTCTCCCTGCTCCCCCGCGGATATAGGAGTGCGGAGCCCTGGACTCCGGCTGGTGTACCTAAATGCCAGGTCCGTGATGAACAAGGCCCTCCTCGTGCGAGATTTAATTGATGAGGACGCGGACCTGGCCTGCATCACGGGGACCTGGTTAGGGCCGGAGGGAGATGTCCCTCTATCCGACTTACGTCCCTTATGCTTTATAGCGAAGGTTGTGGAGTCCGTGGTGGCACAGCAGCTCCCTCAGTTCCTGGAGGAAACTGAGTACCTGGACCCGTACCAATTGGGTTTCAGGCACGGTTACAGCACGGAAACTGCATTGGTCGCCCTAGTGAATGATCTCTGGCAGGCCCGGGATGGGGGTTGCTCCTCCATCCTAGTCCTTCTTGACCTCTCAGCGGCTTTTGATACCATCAAAAGCCGCTGGTATCCTACTGCAGCGACGGGGGGGGTTGGGGGTAGGAGGCACCATTTTACAGTGGTTCTCCTACCTCTCTGGCCGCTCACAGTTTGTATGGACAGGGGACAGAGATCCTCCCTGAGGATGTGGGGTGCCTCGGGGGTCGGTTCTCCCCCCCTGCTCTTTAACATCTATATGAAGCCGCTGGATGAGATCATTTGTGGTTTTGGGGTGAAGTACCATCAATATGCTGATGATACTCAGCTTTATATCTCCACCCTGGGGATCCCCTTTCCGTGATGTCCCAGGTGGGCCTGGATGGGAAGAAACAGACTCGGACTCAACCCATCCAAGACTGAGTGGCTGTGGATCCCGGCATCTCGTGATCTAGTGGTCCCGTCACTTGTGATAGGAGGGGAGGTACTCACTCCCTCAGAAAGGGTTCGCAATCTGGGTGTCCTGGATTCACGGCTATCCTTAGAAGATCATTTGACGGCCGTGACCAGGGGGGCCTTCACACAAGTGCGCCAGTTGCGCCCTTTCCTAGACCAGGATGCCCTCGCCACGGTCACTCACGCCCTTGTTACTTCTCAGTTGGACTACTGTAACGCCCTCTACATGGGGCTGCCCTTGGGATGCACCCGGAGGCTACAGCTAGCCCAGAATGCGGCCACGCGAGTTGTTACGGGGGCTTCTTGTTACTCCCGTGTGACACCTGCGCGAGCTGCACTGGCTGCCGGTGGTCCTTCTGGTCCGTTTCAAGGTGCTGGTGCTCACCTATAAAGCCCTACATGGCTTAGTCCCGGGGTACTTGTAGGATCATCTCCTGCCATCCTCGCATCATCCCGTGCGCTCCCACAGTGGGCCGCCTCAGGGTGCCGTCAGCCAGACAATGTCAGCTGGCGGCCCCTAGGGGGAAAGCATTCTCTGGGAGCGCCGACCCTCTGGAACGGTTTGCCCACCAGGCTTAGGACAGCCCCCAACCTCCACTCCTTCCGCCGCAAACTAAAGACGTGGCTCTTTTATCAAATGGGCTGATCCGTTGGGGGATTTTTACATTGAAATAATTTTAATAAATTTTAATTGGATTTTAATTTTTTATGTAATTTTTGAATTGTTGAATGTTTTCTTTGTAAGCCGCCCTGAGTCTTTTGGGAGAAGTGGCATATAAATTACATAAATAAATCTAAACTAGATGTCATTAGATTAAAAAGATAAACACTGCAATAAAGATTTTACTTCCTGAACACTTTTGAGTGTATCTTATATTTTTGGCTACTAATTATGAAAATAAACCAATCTATGACATACCATTTAATATAAATCTTTTTGCAATTTCATTTACTAATAAAACTAATTTTTAAGTTTACTAATTTTCACTTGTGTTATAAGATGCTTTGTGTAATTTATGCATAACCAGGTATGCACTTGGGATATTTCATAACATTTATGGAACTTGGACATGCTTTGGCATGCTCAGGCTGAATGGATGCTGCCTGGAAAGATAAAAGCAGCTCAAGTACAGTGGGTCAAAAAAGTATTTAGTCAGCCACCAATTGTGCAAGTTCTCCCACTTAAAAAGATGAGAGGGGCCTGTAATTGTCATCATAGGTAGACCTCAACTATGAGAGACAAAATGAGAAAACAAATCCAGACAATCACATTGTCTGATTTGGAAAGAATTTATTTGCAATTTATGGTGGAAAATAAGTATTTGGTCAATATCAAAAGTTCATCTCAATACTTTGTTATATATCCTTTGTTGGCAATGACAGAGGTCAAACGTTTTCTGTAAGTCTTCACAAGGTTGGCACACACTGTTGCTGGTATGTTGGCCCATTCCTCCATGCAGATCTCCTCTAGAGCAGTGATGTTTTGGGGCTGTCGCTGGGCAACACGGACTTTCAACTCCCTCCAAAGGTTTCCTATGGGTTGAGATCTGGAGACTGGCTAGGCCACTCCAGGACCTTGAAATGCTTCTTACGAAGCCACTCCTTCGTTGCCCGGGCGATGTGTTTGGGATCATTGTCATGCTGAAAGACCCAGCCACGTTTCATTTTCAATGCCTTTGCTGATGGAAGGAGGTTTGCACTCAAAATCTCACGATACATGGCCCCATTCATTCTTTCCTGTACACAGATCAGTTGTCCTGGTCCCTTTGCAGAGAAACAGCCCCAAAGCATGATGTTGCCACCCCCATGCTTCACAGTAGGTATGGTGTTCTTTGGATGCAACTCAGCATTCTCTCTCCTCCAAACACGACCAGTTGTGTTTCTACCAAACAGTTCTACTTTGGTTTCATCTGACCATATGACTCTTCCAATCCTCTGGATCATCCAAATGCTCTCTAGCAAGCTTCAGACGGGCCCGGACATATACTGGCTTAAGCAGGGGGACACGTCTGGCACTGCAGGATCTGAGTCCCTGGCGGCGTAGTGTGTTACTGATGGTAGCCTTTGTTACGTTGGTCCCAGCTCTCTGCAGGTCATTCACTAGGTCCCTCCGTGTGGTTCTGGGATTTTTGCTCACCGTTCTTGTGATCATTTTGACCCCACGGGGTGAGATCTTACGTGAAGCCCCAGATCGAGGGAGATTATCAGTAGTCTTGTATGTCTTCCATTTTCTAATTATTGCTCCCACAGTTGATTTCTTCACACCAAGCTGCTTGCCTATTGCAGATTCAGTCTTCCCAGCCTGGTGCAGGTCTACAATTTTGTTTCTGGTGTCCTTCGACAGCTCTTTGGTCTTCACCATAGTAGAGTTTGGAGTGTGACTGTTTGAGATTATGGACAGGTATCTTTTATACTGATAACAAGTTCAAACAATTGGTGGCTGACTAAATACTTTTTTGCCCCGAGTAGCATGTGTGACTGTTACTCGTTTTCTATTGGCTTGTTATGCAAATTACATGAACACAATGTTATGCTTTGTAATAATCACATTAAAATACCTGGAAACTGATTATCAACAAATGCTGTAGGGTAGGGGTGTCAAACGCACTTTGGCATAGCAATGTCACATAATGTATCAGGACTTTTTTCCCCTTCACTAAACCGGGCGGGGGGCGTGGCCAGTACATGATGCATCCGGCCCATAGACTGGGAGATTGACAGCCCTCCTGTAGAGGAACAAGAAGAGGTAATTGTGGGCGAGTTGTTATGCATCCAATCCTTGTACTTAATATTGGCAGGCATGATTGGGAAGGCATTGGAATTTTGGGTTGAAACGTGGATTTTTCATTCAACAAAAGTGATGTTAATTCAAAATTCCTTCAGTGTCGGGGGAAAAAAACACTGCTTTGAAATGTGTATTGCTTCACTGCCTTGCTGTTGTAAACACTGTGGTGGGCTTTGAGGTACACAGCAATTGGAGTGCAGGTTGGCATCCATATCAAAATCCAGGAGAGCTTATTTTGAGATTATTTTCTTGCCTCAGATTTTCACCTTAGCTCATTTTCTACTACTTCATGAGTTGTAGTCCCAACTGGTAATTTTGGACTTGTATCTATTTTTAAAAGCATTGAACTAAGGATGACGTGTAACTCAGTGCTACTTCAAGACCATCCTTGGTTAGTATTTGGGCTCCATTATATGATCTTGTTACTTACCAGTACATTTCATGTATGGTGATGTTTTATCAGGGAGTTAAGAGTAAGGTGGCAACTACTCCCAAGGACACCTATACAGATTGTTGTCAAGCCTTTTTATACTCATTATACTTGTCTAATTGTTCTTGAGAAATGGTTTGCTGTGAGAGGTACAAGTTGTTTATTTGGGCACATTCGGGGACAATGATAGAAGGCCTTCGGAGTTCTACATTTCATACATAAAGTGGAAGCATTCTCATTACCAAGATGAGCTACCTCCCTCTGAAACTTAACATAATGGGAAGACCTTGCTTGCTCAAAAAAAGGCTTCATTTTGAACATGTTGGCAATAGCAGGATTTTTGAATGAAATAATTCATTTAGCATCTCCATAGGAACCATTTGACTTCTCTCAAATCAATTAATTGCTTTTCAAAGTATAGAAGCTGACTGAAGGAGAAAGTGGCCACACTTCTGGATCTCCACTATTATTTTGAATATGTAGAATGATATGGTTTGGTTGTAACTGATATGATTTACTTATCTTTCACCAATGCTTCCTGGGAGAGCAGTGCTTGCTTTCCACACCTCTGGATATAGGTTTAGATCTCTGCTTATTCCATACAATTTAGGATCCACCTTTGCACCACTATTGCCTGCTTTTGATTCACAGTTGCCTCTGCATGAGCTTGTTTTAGCTGACTTGGCAGCAGTACTTGGATGACGAAGCTTAATAAAGATACTGGCAAAAGTATACTAGATGCCTCAGAAGAAAAAAATACCTAATGCATGGAAAAATGCTGAAGTGATTCTTATCATCTGGGCGCCCGAGATGATTTTAAAGAAATATTGCCCAATAAGCCTTTAAGTCATCTACAAGGTTTTCACCAAGATAATAGCAAAAAGAATATTGAGAACATTACATGATGCACTATCAAAGGAGCAGGCAGGATTCAGAAATGGCTACAGCACAACAGATCACATGACATGTAGGAGAGCTTTGGTTAATTATGGCAAGATACTTTACTTTTTAAGTATGTTGACTTTAAGCTGTTTAGTAGGCTCAAGTGAAGTCTGAATAAAGGAGAACATGAGTGCTGCCTCTTCCTTTCCCCATCCGGCCCATCCAGCAGTTTGAAAGCATGCAATATTGCAAGTAGATAAATGGGTACCATTTTGGTGGAAAAATCCTAGCTGTGTTCATGTGTGGACCTGGCCAGACGCAAGGCATTGCCACACAAGGCAAGGTGAGGCGAGACTGGCTGGAAGAGCCAGCAACCTGTGTGCTGCTAGTCAGCTGGTGTAAACTAGTTCCAAGGTTATGTGTGCAGGCACTGAACAAAATAAACTAGCAATTTAGGCTGTCATGACTGCAGAGTGTGCCTAGCATTTGCAGATTTCCCCGATATTGTATGCCATACGCCAGGGGATCCCAACTCCTGGGCCGTGGCCCACTACCAGGCCGTGTGAGTGGTGGGCCGGCATGCATGCATGTGTGCACAGCTCAATTTGCGCAAGTTAAGCTGTGTGTGTGCCAGCCCGGTTCCCTTCTTCCCCCCTCCCTCTGCTGGGCTGCCAAGCCACAAAGGTTGGGAACCGCCACCATGTGCTAAATACATTTTAAAAATTCCTTTTTCCCTAGGAGAGATGATAAAAATACCAGTCTCCAATAAAAACAGTAAAATATTTCTGTTTCCAGCAGAAAGGTAAAAGATGGGATGAAGTAATAGAAAAAAGGTTAATTTAGTTTTTTAAAAGGCTTCAGAGGGAGCTACCTCTATATCATCTCCATCCTCTACAAAACCATGGAGTGCAACATGTCACTGAAGTTTCATTTTCTGCATTCACACTTGGGCTTCTTTCCCCAAAATCTAGAGTGCTGTCAATGACAAACATGTCAAACAAGATTTCACCAGGACATTGTCACAATGGAAAAACTCAGGGCAATTGAGATCCATGAATGCTGGCTGACTTGCTGGACACTGCAGCAAAATGCATTGGACACTGAGTACAAATGAAATTCAGCAGCAAAACACTTGCAGCCCTCATGAAGAATATAGGAAATGTGATTAAATATATTATAGTCATTAAAAATTAATTTCATATTTCTCAAGGTTTCTACGTGATAAAATCAGTCAGAAAATACATTTGTGTTCAGTTTGAAAGGGTCTATGTAATTGGTAAAAGTTTTTCAGGAAGCACAACTTTTTAAAAAAATTGTCCAGTTTAATTGGTACCTTATTAATTTTTACTGTATAATGAAATAAGTTGTAGCTGCAAGTTTTTTGTTTTATACAGGAAGACAGAGTTGAGTAATCTCTTCCAGAGATACACACACAGGACATAGTTATAAAAATAGAGATGCTACTGTTCCCAAAGAGAGGTATACACAAACACATAGACACACTGTTCTGATGTGGGGGGAATGTAGCCAACATCATTAGGGAGGTTAAATCCCATTGTCCCTCTTGATTTTCAAAAGTTGCAGCTGCTTTCACATTTTCTAGAGGTCCTCCGAGCAGTTTTTTCAGTGAGGCCTGTAGGAACTAAGGGCCTTGCAGGAACAGAAAAGCAATAGCTTTGTTTGGCAACTAGGAAGAGATGGAGTAATACACAACAGTGGAAAACACAAATGTTTATTGCAGAAGTTCAACAAAACTATGTAAGTGATAACTGTCCAGTTGTGATTTTTTGAAAAATATGTAACAAACAAGCAAACCTAACAATTTGAAATAATGGCCTCTATAATAATTGGGAGTTTTATTTAAGTAAAAAATATCAAAAGACAAATTATGTAAGTTGAAATGATTCTTTTTTCCCTACCTTTATTTTTTTATACTGACTTGTAAATTTGCCATTTTTGCTATCTGATCAAGTTTAATTAACTGGGAAAAATACTTCCTAATTGGCTATACTGCAGTGATGTCGAACCTTTTAGACACCAAGTGCCCAAACTGTGTGCATGCGCATGCCCAAACTGAAAAGTGCACACACACGAACATGTGCATGCACAGACACACGCATGCATGGGCATGCGCAGCAGAGACCCGAAGACCAGCTGGCCAGTGGGAGGCAGGGCATTCCAACACCAGCAGAATAGCAAGAGGTAAGATCTTTTACTTTTGTGAGCTTCCGTTTCGTTGTTTGCAGGGAAACAGAAACTCACGAAAGAAACGCCACGGAGAGCTGACCTGGGGCAACAGCACATGCCAGCAGCAATGGCACGTGCCAGCTGAGAGGGCTCTGTGTGCCACCTCTGGTTCGTCATCCCGGCTATACTATATTTCTACCTTAAAACCCTGATGAACTCCTCCCCCCGTTAGGTTTCAAATAACCACTGTTTTTAAAATAAAACTGAATGCTCTCCCAGAACCATCAATAGTTTTTGTTACTGGAGCCAACTTTAGTACTTAGCTTTGAGTAATTACTGTAGGATAATAGTACAATTAATTTATATTTCTACTATATTTTGGGGATTTTTGTTCCAAAATTAATTTGGAATTCTTGTTTTTATTCAGCTCATTCTATCTTATGTTTCCATGTTTGCAGTACATCAGGGGTGTCAAACTCAAGGCCTGAAGGCTGGATCTGGCCCACGGAGTGCTTAGATCTGGCCCCGCGGTGCCAGCCTGGAAATAGCAAAGGACCAGCCTGCGGTGCCTCTGCTAGCAAAAATGGGGCGTGGTGGGCCATATGACCCCCCCACACACCATTACCTGGATGACCTCCTGCAAAATCTACATATACTTCGAAGACCCTCTATACATAAAGGCAACACAACAGAATGTCAAGACTGCATCTGACTATATCGCTATATAACAATAGTAATAGGACATGCTGTCTTTTGAACGTAACATTATTGTACTTCAGATATACAAATATAGTAAAGCCTCATATTTGTGATGATTCTATACTTACCATTAGAACAAAGGCTCCATGGTATAATGAAGGATGCCCTTGATTCTTTCAACAGTTCACTTTTCCCACAAATAATATGGATAATCTGTTCACTAGTGACAAATTTAGAATCTTTGCTAAGATTTCTGAAGAATAGATAATTTTCAGTTAGTTCTTGCTTTAACTTCTGTCAAGGGCCATGTAACCTGCACATGATATGGCTCAAGTTCTTGTGGGTCAACATAATCTGGAGCATTGCTCATCAAATCTGTTCCCTTGAAAGACTTGGGGAAAGCAATGACATCTCGAATACTCGAACCTCCAACTAGAAGGCAAATCAGTCTGTCAAGCCCTGAAAAAGAAATGCATTAGATATTAATACTGCTATAAGGTTAAACAAGTTTTGCAAAAAGGATCCTACAACTGTCAATGAAATTATATCAGTATCTCTTCATTAATAAAATATATTGTACAGGTAAAATAAGTATAAGGTTCATTTCAGGAAAAAGCTGTGGGTACTTTGTCTAACACTTTTAGATTATAAAATGGACAAAGAGTTTGTGAAGGGTGAAACAACATGCATGTACAGTAGAATGTAAGAGCTTCTTATTCTATGTGCTTGCTAATTCACTCACTGCTTTTTACCTGTTTCTCTTGCTATCTTTTCAATGCTGGGAATTTTTCTGGAATGAAGGAATTATAACATATCTTTCATTAATTTAGATAATCTCTCTGCTTTATGTTAGTTGGGAAAACAATGTTGGTGAGCAACATGCCTTTAATTAACTGTGCTGCAATTGAAAAAAAATCAGAGGGATAAGTATTCAAGTGCTGAATCAATAAAGCTATATAAATGTTTTACTGAGTATGTTGCTTTTTTATGACTGGGGACAAAGGTTCACAAATAAGAGAGAAAAGCTTCTATTTCTTCTTTCAAAAATAATCAATTTACAAACCATTATTGTTTTGTTCCTAGCTACACCGAGATAAAAATAAGTCCGAATAAAAAATAAAAGTTTGACAAACCTGACTGATAAATGAAGAATATATTCTTACATACTAGTTTTGTGTAATGAGCCAAAGAATTTGCAAAGCAAGTTTTCTCTGGCTTAGCTATAATATTTCAAAAATATATATTTTTTTATATTGGGAAATTTTGCACTTCCATCCCCTAGAGATAAGCATGAATTAACTTTGCTTTTTCACCAAGGTACCAGTTTTTGTAATATGCACAATTAGTTTGGAGAAACAACTGGAAAGTATTTTATTTGTGAGGGCACAGATTGCTTATCAGAACATCTCAGACTACAACAGAAAAAAACCTCTGAAACAGCTTTTTACTTAGAAAAATGTGTGGTTTTCTATGTAGGAATAATTTCATTCAGGAAAAAATCAATTGACTTTGTGATCTTTCTCATACTGATATCAGTGTGCTTACTATTTATTCATAGAATCATAGAGCTAGGGACCATAAAAGTAAGGTAGTCTAACTTCCTGTATGTAGCAAAAAAGAAAAAGAAAGAAAAATATACTGACCTAGTGCAATTCCTCCATGTGGGGGTGCACCACACTCCAGAGCTTCAAGGAGGTGATAAAGCAGCTCAGTATTCTCCTAAGAATGTAAGAAGTAGATCAAACAAAGTAGATCAAGCTTTCTGTTCACAGAGTGACCAAACAGTTACATAGGGAAATTCATAGGCAGGGCTAGAGTGCAAATGTAGCTTTCCTGTATATTCCTTTTTTAAAAAATATTAAAAATTTTAATAGTGAAAGCTAATACAAAATAAAATTGCACCGAGACACTGCATATTCCTTCTGACACAAGAATAAAATAGCTACAGGTATTACAATCGATAGCCATTGAATTCATGGAAAACTAACTTGGATATTGTTTGCTTCTTGATCTTTGGTCTAGTGTTAATCTTGATGTTAAACTCTGCTCATCTCGGTGTTAATTGCTGTTGAGGAGGTGTTTTGCACATTTTGTTTTGCTTTTTGATGGTCTCTTCTGAACAACAAGTAAATAATGTTTATCTCTATGTGCTTGATGATGGCTGATTTGTCTGGGTGTCAGGTGTTCAGCAATTCTCTAGTGTTTTTGGACTTGGCTTAGTCTAGGATGCTCACAGTTTTCCAGTTGAAACTATGGTTAGGGACCCCTGGTGGCCCAGTAGTTAGAATGCATATTGCAGGCAAACTCTGCCCACTGTCTGGAGTTGATTCCGACCAGCTCAAGGTTGACTCAGCCTTCCATCCTTCCGAGGTCAGTAAAAATGAGGCCCCAGATTGTTGAAAGCTGACATTTGTAAACCATCCAGAGAGTGGTACAAAATAGTATGTGACAGTATATATCTAATTGCTATTGCTATGTGTTGTGAAATTTGCTGATTTCAAATGAAATATACAAGACTATTTTAGTACAAATAATTACCTTCAAAATTGTCTCAAGTATGAAACGCTGCTGCTTTGCATTATGGATTCGAATAGAGCCACCTCCAATCTCATTACCATTCAATACCAGATCGTAATGCTGACCTCTAACCTTGCGAGCAAAAAGAAGGAAACAATGTAAATTTGTATTGTTATGTATAGCTGCAAAAACCCTTGTGAAACAGCAAATCCCACCCAATAGTGCTTTTGCAACTAATGGGAACTACATATCTGAAGTTGACAGAAATAGAATGAACGTTTTTGAACAAGATAATTAGAGGCCAAGAAAACCATAATATGTATAATCCTATTTTTCTCCGGCTCTGATTTTGTAGTACATCTTTTTCAGATAAGGTAGACTTCTTGTCCTAAGATTAAATTGCTAATTATAAAAAAATATTTTGTTTTTATCATTTTGTCCAATTCTTTGTCTGCAGTATCCTGCTTTTATATTAAGAAACATAAAGGCACCTGTCTGGGATCTGAGTAGAGAAGATGCTCGTCCAAAGGATGGGGAGCAGTGAAAGGATGATGAGCAGCTTCTAATTCTTCAGGATTTTCTTCTTTTGGGAGGAAAAGTGGGAATTCTACCACCCAGAGGAAGTGAAAGGCAGAAGGGTCACGAAGTAACAGACCTTTTGCTTCCAGAAGTTCAGCACTCTTCAAGCGTAGCTTTCCTAATGCAGAGCACTGAAAACAAATGAGAGAATAGAAGAGAGAAAAGGGCGGACAAGGCGCTGAGGCCTCATAGAAAGACCCAATACTTGCATCTCTAACTCCAAGCAGTGTATTATTATCAACTTGTAATTGTCCGGACCAGTTGATATTTTTTAAAAAAATACTGATTGAAAATGCAGTGGTTATTGGTCATTTGCTAGAAGGTAATTTATTCAAGGATGAATTAATGTTCAGTTTAATAAAGAAGGAACAACTCATCAGTGCAAACATCAAGTAGAGGTACAGGTGATTTATTGTTTATTGGTTCGATTTATATGCCGCCCTTTTCCGGAGACTCAGGGAGGCTTACAATGCGTTAAGCAATAGTCTTCATACTTTTGTATATACCTGCTTAGTAGGGCTTTCGCCCCCCCCAAGTGGTATAAAAAAGTATACAAAGTCAACTTATTGCCCACACAAAGCGGGTCCTCATTTTACCTACCTCGGAAGGATGGAAGGCTGAGTCAACCTTGAGCCTGGTGAGATTTGAACTCGCAGTAATTGCAGACAGCTGGTGTTACTTAACAGTGCTTTAGTTTGCTGCGCCACCAAGGCTCTTGCTGGTCAAGAGGAACCAGATTTAATTTAAATTTAAACAAATAAATAAATTTAGATTTATTTTTGCTGGTGCCCAAAGTCTAAGGGCATCAATATTCTACTTACCACCTGTTTGTGTTGGCCAGCAGCAAGCAACACCACATCCTCCATATTGGCCTTAACTGTTCTGATAAGCTCTGTTTTTTGCTCTTCATTAAGGAACTTTCCAAGTGGGGACTTCATGTTGCCATCAGGTTTCAAAATCAAACATGATATAAACTATACAGGACAGAAAAGTGGATAAGCAGCTCAGCACTTCTTGAAAAGAATGCAAACGAAACCGAAGGTGTTTAACTGCTTTAATTGCTCTTCTTCAATATATGGCAATGATTTTCAGATCCCATGAAATAGTTAACCAATAAAACTAACTGAACCCAAAACAGTCTAGTTTATACCAAGAACTTTCTGAGAGGGAAAAGAACACCATTATATCCACTAACAATAGCTTGAGTATAAGGGATCTTTGTCTAGTGTTAGGTACCAACTTTTCCACACAGAAAAAGCTGGAAAAACTCAACCTGAACCTAGAAAGTTGTTAGTATTGAAGATACTAAGATAGATCAATAGTCTGAGTACAAGACCACTTCCTATCCTTCTGCAAGAAAGAATAATGAGAAAAAGCAATGATATAAGCATGGAATCAAGCACTTTAAGATTTCTCAAAATACAGTAATGCTGCAGAAGAGACAGGCCAGCAAAGAGTCTCTGCTGATTTTAGAACCCTAAGAATCCCTCCCATGAGCCATAGATTTCAGTTGTCCCCCCCCCCTTTTTTTTATAAATAGATAAGAAAGAGCTCTGTATCATATACAGCCTTCCCCCACCCCATGCAAATATTCATAGTGGCTCTGGCAGACTGCTTCCTGTATGCAAATTGCTGCTTACTTTTGTGGCTAAGGAGTACACTTTCAGAAAGATTTAAGCTCTTTCATTCTTTAATATGAAGAAAATTGGTTTGTGCAATGTAAGAGGGACTATAAAACAAAACTTATTGGATCCAATCAAAAGTTTATCTTGACCAAAATCATCTTCACAGAGTGGGCCAGCTTTCTCCTTTTATTTTAATCCAAATTAAACTAATTTAAAAGAACTAAAAATTCTCCCTGTCCCAGCCTGCCCAAACTGATATGTAATATGCAGGTTTAAATTTTACATAGCCCAACATAAATTCCCAAAAGAAAATACTTCTTGGTTGTAATTATTTTTCCCATACCTGGTTAAATTGGGATTTTGACAATTCATTTAAGGATTCCAAATCTTTAAACTGTAGATATTTCTAGAGACAAAGATATATAAACACTAATAAATGGATTAAGTTTGTTATATTTTAACTGAGACTGCTATACATTTACCCATTATTTTTACATTAAAACTTTTTTCAGAATCAAGCTTAAATTAAAAATGCTTTCAGATTATATTTTCAGTTCTAGAAAGGAATCATGTACAACAAAAATATGATTAATTCATTACAACAATGATATATAGAGAAGAACTTTCTTCAAAAAGATATAAAAATCCAAGGAAAACAATCTTAAAACAAAATAAAAAAATTGATTTCTTTATTTTCTATCATTCTCAACAATGCAATTAAAATAATTTCTAAACAGGTACTAAAATTCTATTAAATATAGATAAAATAGTGATGTTCAGATTCGATTTTTGCTAACTATCATCATGAGATAAACAATTGTAATGCACTGTAATCTTGTAAACTTTTAATCACTATTTTAGTGCCTCTATAATTACAAAAACAGGATTGACATTAAATACTGCAGTAAGGAAAAACACCGTTTTCCTGTTTCCTAACTGTAGCATCAACTGGCAAGCGTCCATTCACAAGTATCTGTTTGCCTGCAACGCCTCCACATTTGGCATTCGGCTGCAAGTCAATTTGTGAACTAGTAGGGCAACAGTGAATTGAGGTGGATTTGAATTATGGAGATCTAAACTCGACCCAATGTTGAATACCTGAACTCAAATGAATGCCCTGATTTAGTCATTATTTCTCACTTTTAATCTACTTCACAGTTGTTGTAAATGATTTCATATTGGAAGAACAATGTAAATAATGACAAGTGCACAAAATGTAAGCATTCTTAGTAAATCACGGATGAAAGGCTAAATTTAAAAGACTCATCCAAATGTGGCTGACAGATCATAACTGGGATACACCTTCAATAAATGTATCCCTTTTACTTTTTAGTATTTGACTTTAGAACAAAATTTGAAATTACACTAGCACTCATTTTTGTGTATATTCTTTTAGGTATTCTCAGAGATAACCCTGCACATTCCCAGTTTTCAGAGAAGAAAGAATCTGATCTGACTGCCTATAATATTCATTCCACTGACTGATGGACATAACTATCTATAACTCTATGATTTCTAGTTTGTACTTCAGAATGGGGTTGTGTGGAAGAAGCAGGAAAAAAACCTGCATTCATAATATAAGATGCAGCCTTTCCTGGCCTTCTTCCCACATCCTTTTTTCACATTAGAAATCTGGGCTGGCTTCTATATATTGCACAACTGTCTTATTTCAACCATAGATTAAAGATTTTTTTCTTTTAGTACATCTTTTTAGAACTGGGGTGCTATGGCTCAGTGGTTAAAGATACTGAGCTTGTCAGCTGGAGAGGTGACAGCCCAGATTTGAGACTCGGAACTTCCACACAACATGGTCAGCTCCCGTTACTTGCCCCAGCTCCTGCCCACTTAGCAGTTTGAAAGCATGCAAGAGAATAAATTAATAGGTACCACTTCGGTGGGAATGTAACAGCGTTCTGTGCACCTTTGGGGTATAGCCATGCTGGCCACATGAACATAAAAATTGTCTTTGGACAATGCTGGCTCCCTTGGAAAGAAACCATACCCTACAGTAGGGCACAACTGACAGGGAGACTTTTACCTTTTTACTTCTATCTACAAGGACATCTATCTCACACATCACCATTTTTCCTATTCACTAACTGTACTGAGTTTGACAAATCTCCATAAGCTTGCTTTATTTTATTCAGTATTATTTTAATTTCAAGATAGAAAGCAATACATTAGTTTAATGTATTCTTATTTTTAAGATATAGATCTTACTGAAACCAGTTTGACTTCTCCTGAAAAGATAAATTTTGCTTTTTCAATCATCTACTTGTATGCAAGCCAGAGAGAGAGAGAGAACATATTTGTAGGGCTCATCATAGAAATAACAGCTTGATAAATGACAGCCTCCAAGATAAAGGACATTTCCCCTTACCACAAACAGCCTCACTCACCGCTCCCTGAGGAATGCAAATGGCTTTCATTGTAGCGTAGGGCTCACTGAGAGAGTTCTGCAAAAAGTCAACATCTGCATTCCTGAGAATGTGACTTACATCAATGATCTGGCATTGGAAGAAAAGATATAAATACCATAATTGTGACAACAAGAATATGACTGGAAAAGAACAAGGGAAGGGAAAGCAGTTTCAAACACAACTGAAAAAGGGCTTAGCTTTACATTCTATACTCATCAGCTGCTGAATTTTGTTCAAGACATTCGGACAGCTGCCACTACAACTCCTTGTGAATGGAAACAGAGGCTTTGGGCTGAATTCTCATAGCAAGGCTGTATTAATTTATGGTAGCCAATAAAACAGTGCTTTAGTTTCAGGAAAGATGGACTCTCCCCCCCCTTCGCTTCTAATTTAACAAAATCACAGTCTGCAGTGCAAGAAACGTTTGGGGTATCTTAAAAGAACAGTTGTGATTGACACAGGCTTCTGTAACTCAATACATTAGTACCTTGGTACTCAACTGCTTTGAAACTCATTTGAGTTTGGTACTCAGTGCATTTTGATATGAAAATTTTGTCCTGGTACTCATCATTATTTGTTACTCAATCCACAAGCTAGAATGCCTTGGTGTCGGCTGCCTTGTGACTCACTACATTATTCCTTATGGGAAAAATCTGTTTGGTACTCATTGTTTTTTGATACTCAACATGCCTCCCAGAACCAATTAACAATGAGTACCAAGATACCACTATTATCAAATGTGGCAAGTGTGTAGTACAATAAGAACTATCAAAAATTACTGCTTTAAAACACAGCAGAGAGTTCCATATTTCTCTTTCACACAAATTAAAAGCCAAAATGCATAATAATTTGATAAAATATCAAATTTTATTATTTATTAGTCATTTTAATGTATATTCCAGAATAGATTTTCTGCAACAGATTTCCTGTTATTTGAACAACAAATTCGAGGCAAATGAGATAATCATGGAATCTGGCCAACCCTTACATGACTATATCTAATCATTGCCTCACTTCACTTTACCTTGTTGTTCTATTATAAGAAGGGTTAAAAGCATAACGTCTGGAAATAGTTTTTGATTAAGTTGGAACTGAGGTTTGATGCGAATCTTTCTACCTTGCAGAAGTTAAATTCAACTTACATAATAAATTATCCTTAATTTAAAAAAAATCCTTTATATTCTTGAGATTAAGGAATAAATAAACAAGTAATCCAGCATTATTAAGCTGGATCATCTAATCCCACTAGTCTCACAATTAGAATGGAATATGTGATTTCCTATAATAGAGTATGTCACCACACTTAGTTCTGCCCCATCATGAAAGATCTACATAGATCTACATAAGATTGCTAGGAAAAGCCAACAAGTGATACTGAGACAGTATTAAAAGTAGGCAATTGCTATTCTGTTCTTTTTTGCCCATCTATACCTCCCAGTGAGACTGTGGCATTTTTGAAGAAACTGGTTAAAAGATGGGGAGAGGTAAATAAATTTGATTCCCAGAAGCTAAAGGTGTCGTGGGTAAGAAAGTCTGTAAATTATGCCATTTGGACCAGTTACCTAATTGTACACAGGCTATCTTTTTTTCTTCTTCCATTCAATCATGCCTGATTCTTGGAAACTATCTGGACAAGTCTACAGTTTTCTTGGCAAATTTTATTAGAAGAGATTTGCTACTACTTCCTACCTAGGGCTAAGAAAAAGTGACTGATCCAAGGTTGCCCACCTTGCCAAGGAATTATAACACACGGTCTCTAATTTCTAGCATGATGCCTTAACTACAACACCAAACTTACTCTCTAAAAATGATGTAAATTGACATACATCTAATTTAAACAAATTCCTCTTCACTAAATCATTAAATCATGCATGAAACTTGGAAATATTCCTGGATTGGGACCCAGAGTCTTTTCAGTAGTCACCAATTGACACTCCCCCTTAAGCAATATAGGATTGATTTTATTAAGCATCCATATGGACAACTGGTAGTTTAGGCAAGAATTCAACGCAACTTTCTTCAATCACTGTCTAGCAATAAAGCTAGTGAAAGCCCCAAGGTCCTTATGTATTTTGTAAGAGGCAGCATTTAGAACTGGGATATCAAAGGGCTGAGAAATATGAATCCAACAAATTAGCATAAATTCAATATGCAAATTACACAATATTTGACTCACTCAATATACTGCTCACAACACTCACGCTTGAAAAAACAGAATTTATCAAAATATCAACAATTCCCAAAATAGAGATGGTAAGACACCATCAACAAAGATATGCAAGCCGTGAGGCTGCGTCCTGGAGACGTGCAAAGCGGCGCTCAATGATCCAAAAAGCGGACCCTGCACCTGTGGGAATACGCTAGGAAGAAATCCCTAGCGTATTCAACAAATCCCATTGCAGTTAAAAGGCTTTCAATATAGCAGCGGGGGTGTGGGAGTCAAGCAAATAGGTAATTTTGGTAAAAGAACATGCCTTCATTCCAAAACGAGTATCAGGTTTATCAGTCCCATAAGTAGATAGTGCCTCATCATAGGTGATTGAAGGGAAGGGTATTTTGATAAGCCCCTTTTTCTTAGGCCAGGAATATTGCAGCATGCCCTCGATTAAAGCCAGAATTCCATCTTGCTCCACAAATGACATTTCAATATCTATCTTTGGGGGGTGAAATAAAGAAGAGATTTTTTTTAAAAAAAAATAAGGCATATAAATATCACTATTATTCTATTGAACGTTTTTGCAAAATATATATTTTTTTGAAAATGCATTTTACTAGAAGGGCTATAATTCTAGAGAACAGTCTTTCTTTCAGAGTCTAGGCTTACAGCACCCATTTCAATGAAATACTTGTACATGCTCAGATTTTGGAGCTGTATGGTTTTCATGGTTTTTAGGCCGATTTCTTTGCCCATTAATTCTCTCTTCTCTGTCCCTTCTATACAATTTTCTGGGAATTATCTATGCTAACTTGCTGCTGGAAAAAAGCCATGTTACCTTAGATGCTAGCATATTTATTATAGAAGATATACTGCAGATGATGTTATTAGATGAAGCAAATTCTATTGCACACAAACTAGTCCTAGCATTTTTGCAAATGTAGATTAGTTTTAAAACACACAAAGTATCTTTGAGCAACCCTTTGCCATATACTTACATCAACCCCATTTATAAAATAATTACTAATATCCATATTTTTTAAAATTATATTTTGAGTGCTCTTGGAAATTTTGATGCACTTTATTTTTTAATTTTTTGATTGTTAGTAATTTACTAATACACACAACACACTCCATAAAGTCAGACTTCATTGTAAATCGGTACATAAGTCACAAGGGCAGGATATAAATCTAATAAACAAGCATAGTGCATGCCATTTTGGTGAATTTGGGATTCCATTTGCAAAAATGGTTGGCAGTACTAGATCACAGAAATGAAGTAATGTGTTAACTGTAATGCCAAAACAGAAATATCTCTCAACAGTGGAACAAATGACACTTTTCCATTTTCCATCACTACTCAATATTATTTGCTCTGTATACTGAATGATAAAGCTGAATCACAGAACAGTATTTTGGTCAGTGCTGCAAGTAACAACAGTGAGATGACAAGTATTCAGTTCCCAATTACTTTGCATTGTAATTACATATTCAGATTTTCCTCTTCCAAAGCCACTAAACTCCCAACTTCTAAACGGATAGTAATCCTTGTAGTTAGAGGTAAAAACAATGCCTAATTTAATGCTTTTTAATCTTATTCCAAACAAAAATAAATTACCTGAGTGAATTCAGGCTGTCTGTCTGGCTTTGAACCTTCATCTCGGTAACAGCGGGCAACTTGGAAATATCTGCCATTAGAAAATTACATTCTGGTTGCAGAGTATCTTTCTCAAGTAGCATGATCTCTCAAAACAGGGGGTTTGGAAAGAATATACATCTGAAAAAATTGCTATAATCTGAATTTAAAACAGAATAAACATTTGTTCCATATTTAGAAATCGATTAATCCATAGGCACAGGAAAGTTCTCCTGCATTGGGAACTGCAAAGAAAAAGAAGTGGTTTATGTGCTTGACATACTGAGATGATCTGCATACTTTGAGTTGCTTATGAGTGGACAAGACATTCTCTGCACTGCCAGAAAAGGGAGTCAGAAGATACTTTACTCCCACTGCTAAATCTGATTTTTTTTCATTTACATTTTTTTTATTCACTACAACTGCAAACCATCCAAGTTGGTAAGAATCTGTAATTTATAATGAATGAATGAATCACAAGATGAGCACTCATAATCAGCTTGGGGCAAAGGCGTAAGTATTTTTATCACCAATACAAAATGCTAGTATGACTGGGGATAAATTCATCTCCAGAGGAAACGTGTTCTAGACTAGGGGGCATTACAAAAAAGCCCTGCTCTCCAGCCTGTACTCATATATAAATCTATATATTTTCTGTGGTGGAATGCTCAAGGTGATGAGAAGAAATGTGCACATGCCAGTTCCTTGATATAAAATCTGGGACCACCCCATGTAAGATTATAAAGGTGGTAACCAGCATTATAAATTAGGCTTAAAAAGACCACTAATGATCTGGTCCCTGACCAAGTTTCCATGTGCCATGTAAGCAAGGGCTATGAGCACCCCTAAATCACAAACCAATTCCTTTAGGGAAAGCATAACCTCATCTACAGTAATTATTAGATGTTTCTTTATAAATAGTAACTCCATCTTAGTAGGATTTAGTCTTGTTTTGCCTCACCCAAACCTTGATACCCTGGTTCAGACTTTCTACTGCATCTCCAGTTCTGTCCAAGGTGGAAATGTGTAAGTGACTTTCATCAGTGTGCTGATGACACCTCACTCCAAATTGGATGCTCTCTCCTAGTGGTTTCATAGTTATTAAATAATATGAGGGGAAACTGATACTGGAGCAACCAAGGGAGTGAGTGCTGTCTCTCTCACATACATACCCCCAACTACTGACTGGAGCCACCCACTAAAGTAGAAGTATAATCACCATAAAATGGTGCCAATTCCCAATCCTTACATGTTTTATATATGCCATGATTCAGCAACCTGGTTCTCCATCTCATAGATGATTAGATTGTGGTCATAGACTGTACAGTACAGAAAATATTTGCAAGAAGATTTCAAGCATGTGAATCTTGTAGGCAGACATAGAGAGTTACAGTACAGTTAGGCAGATTGTTCTTAGCATGGAACTAGATTAATTGGCAAATAATCAGTTTGTGTGAGAAACTAACTCAGTCTATCCATTATCCTCTCATCACAAACTGCAGACCAGAGTTTTAGTGCTACCTTGAAAACGTTATTGTGCTGGTGGGGCCCCAAGAAGCTCACCTGTCCAGACCTCCTACCATTAGGAGCTGTTTAAACTGCTGAGGACTCTGAGGAAGTGAGTAGAACTTTCCAGCCTCCCGGGAAGGCACCACAAATTCTTTTGCACCCTGGTATTAAAGGGATGATGAAATTTAAAGCTGGAATTACATTGCCTTTAGATGGAAAAAAAAACGAGGAAACTTCTAGTTTGAGTACAAAATATTTATTTCAGCCAAACCTCACTTGAAAAATTTAATCCACTCTCCATTGCATTTAATCAGGAAATGGAAGTGCAATAATGCACCATTTCCCAAAATACATCTCCTGCACTATATTTCATTAACATCTGTGGTTCCCAACATTTCCGGCTCCATGGATCAGCAGCAGCAGTGGCAGGGGGAGAGGGAATGGTTTTGCACGTGCAACCTAACTCCCACACATGCACAAATGAAGCTTCATGCCCACAGCTTCTGGGCCAGCAGGTGGAAGGCCAGTACTACTCCATGGCCCAGGGGTTGGGGACCCTGATTTACATGATCATGCATGCTTCTCATGTTAGAAATTAACAAAAGTTCTTGAAGCATATTAAGCATATTAAGAAATAGTAAGAAGACCTAGGTTACTGCTTTTCAAGATAACCTTTATCATAATTTCTGTGTGCACAATGGCACACATTAAAATGAAATTCCAGTGCCTTCTCCCCATATACATACACACATACAGTACACATACACAGTACATATACTGTATACACACACGTTTCTGATACTTGATTTATACTGTATATATCAAATATATAAATTGATTTATACATAACAAATATACAAATACACAAATAAACACACACACAATTTACGTCTCTCCCCTATGAATCTCATGAAGTTAGGAAGGATTTTTTAAAAAGACTTCTTCACTCTTTTTAAAAAACGTAAACCTATCCATGAACAAAAAGAGATGATAGCACTTTCTTGTGTTCCAGCTGTTATTTAGCAGGTTGCATTCCTTGCAGCTTTTCAGTAACTAGTGTATTAATGAAGGTTTTGGTTTCAGAAAATGATGCTTAGCAACCATTAGTTAACAACTCTCTTTGTCAAACAAGCTGTAAAGAAACTTCTTTGTATCTTTTTTGTTTCTTTTCTATTTTTTTCTCTTCCCTTGCACCTTTAGCTTTTTCTTGCTTTCTTTATATTAATTTGTATTAGTTTTTATCTACCTTTTAAAGTTTTAATAAGAATTATTTATATAATGAATATTCTCCATCACATAATTTCATAACAAAACTAAAATTCTGACTATGCCAAGCAAAATCTCCAAAGTTGTCTAGATTCTATTGTTCTCTAAGTAACCTTGCAAAGGGAAATACCAGAGACAGTCTAAACCAGGGATCCTCAAAACTTTTTAAACAGGGGACCAATTCACGGTCCCTCAGATTGTTGGAGGGGCTGGACCAGCTGGGTGGGCATGGGTAGGTGGTCATGTGGCTGGGTGGGCGTGGCCAATTTAACAGGCCATTAAACAATACACCCAAATTAAACTTTAATTTGTTATGCTCTTGGGGGTGGAAAGCAGGTTAGTGAAGGGATGTGGCTGCCTTGGGCTGTGTGTGTATGTGTATATGTGTGTGTGTGTGTGTGTGTCCTTTTCTTTCTCTCTCTCTTTCTCCCTCTGGAGGCTGGGGAGGCCAAAAACGGGCCTGTTTTTGGCCTCCATTACCACTGCCATCCAAAAACGGGCCTGTTTTTGGCCTCCCAAGGCCTCTGCGCGTCCCGTTTTTGGCTTCCTTGGGTGGGGGCCAGAGGGTAGGTGGGGCGATGTGGGCAGGGCAGCCTCATGGTCTCGCATGGGCTGGATTAATGGCTTTGGCGGGCCGTATCCTACCCATGGGCCATAGTTTGGGGACCCCTGTTAAACAAAGGCTGACTGAGACAACCGCCATCCAATTTTAGGTCATAAGCTTCCTATTCATAATGCATTGGGCCAGAAAAATCCTTGAAGTAACCATGGCAGCTATAAAGTTCTGAGCTGGTGAGTTCAATATGAATGCAGAATCATCCCAGGAACACAAAATATCTACCCCACATCTAAGACAATTCTGCTGCCTTAGAAAAGAAGAATTATGGGTAATCTTAACAATTGAATTAGTCACTATTCTTTTAGATGTTTGGGCTACATGATGTAATTACTTTCTGATATTTGATAATTTTATAAAACAATATATATACAGAAAAGATGCCTTTGCATACTTACTCCTGGTGTTTTCTTAAATAGTGTTGGTGTTTCTACATCCACAAAATCTAAAATAAGATTTGATAAATTTTGTCAGCAGCACAGTAAGTGAAAGGAGAAAAAAAAGTTAACTGTTAACAATTCTGTTTCTCTAACCATGATGATTACAGAGATACTCTCGCATTCTCATCACCACCTGGGATCTCAGCCGGAGGTTATACTGCATCTGAATACTTCTTAAGTCCAAATAACGATACTGCATTCGCAGTGCTTCAGTTTTCTGAGGAGGAAAAGAATGTTATTTTATAAAGAAAAACCAGCAATTATACCTCCTAAAACCAACACGAAGCACAAAATATTGTTACCTAAATTAAAAACATAAGAAAGTTTTTATGCCAAACCATTACTCTTCACTCACTTCTTCCAATTCGTATCTTGTCTATTACTAAATATATTTCTCATTGCTGGAATAATTTTACAGAATAATAGAATAATAACAGAGTCAGAAGGGACCTTGGAGATCTTCTAGTTCAAGTCTTGCTGAAGCCAGAGACTCCATACCATTCTAGGCAAATAGTTATATGATCTCTTTTTGGAAACCTCCAGTGATGGAGCACCCACAACTTCTGGAGGCAAGCAATTCCACTGATTAATTGTTTTCACTGACAGGAAATTTGTCCTTATTTCTAGGTTGGATCTCTCCTTGATAAGTTTCTATCTGTTACTTGTCCTGACCTCAGGTGCTTTGGAGAAGAAGTTGACTCCTGCTTTTTTGTGGCAACCACTCAAATATTGGAAGACTGCTATCATGTCACCCTAGTCCGTGATGGCGAACCTGTGGCACGCGTAGCCATATCAGTGGGCACATGAGCTCAGCTCTGGCGCGCTGATTTTCAGGCCTTCTGGGCCCGCCAGAAGTAGGAAAACAGGTTGTTTCCTGCCTCCGGAGGGCCTCGGGGGATGATGGGGAAGGCCCATTTTTCTCTCTCACCTGGCTCCAGAGCCTTTCTAGGAGTCTAGGGAGGGCGAAAATTGTCTCCCCCCCCGGAGGACCTCCAGAGGCCAGAAACGGGCCGTTTTCGGCCTCCAGAGGATCTCCGAGGGGAGGGGGGAAGAGGCCATTTTTGCCCTCCCCAGACTCCTAAAGAGGCTCTGGAGCCAGGTGAGAGAGAAAAACAGGATTACCGGGCCATCACGTGCCAGGAGCAGGGGATCGCGCACGCATGCACGGGGCGCATAGAATTATGGGTGTGGGCACGCACATGCTCCTTGCCCCACCTCCTGGCATGCGATGACAAAAAGGTTAGCCATCACTACCCTAGTCCTTCTCTTTCTTAAACCAGAAATACCCAAACATTCATTTTATGTGTCAGCCTTCAGCCCCAATCTTTTTTGCTCTTCTCTGCACTCTCATTAGAATCCCAACGTCTTTTTTACATCATGGTGACCAGAAATCGATTAAATATTCCATGTGTGGTCTTATCAAAGCAATATAAAGCAGTACTAACACTATATGTGACCTTGATAATATCCCCCTCTTGATGCCGCCTACAATTGCGTTGGTAGCTTCAGCACAGTGCTGGTTCATACTTAAGTTGTTGTCCACTAGGACCCCTACCTAGATCCCTTTCACAGTTTCTGCTGTTGAGTCAGGTACCACCTATTCTATACCCGTGCATTTGGTTTTTCTTGCCTAAGTGTAAAACCTTACTTTCCCACCATTGAGTTGCATTTTGTTGGATAGGGCTCAAATTTTAAGTCTGTCAAGATCCTTTAGGATCCTTTAGGATCCTGAGCCTATCATCTAAAGTCTTGGCTATTCCCCCCAGCTTGGTGTGGTCTGCAAATCTGATGAGTTCCCCTTCTACCCCTTCATCTAAATCATTCATGAAGACTTGAAGAGTACGGGGCCTAAAACAGAACCTTGGGATAGCTAACTACGTTTCCCTCTACGTAGATGTAGTTCCATTCAAGACTACACATTGAGTGCATATGTTCAGCCAGTTACGAATCCATCTGGTGGTGATGCAGTCTATCCCACATTTTTCTCTCTTAACAGAAATAGGTTGTGGTCTACTTCGTCAAATGCCTTGCTGAAGTCCAAATATACTATGTCCATAGCATTTCGCTGATTTGCTAATTTAATCATTTTGTCAAAGAATCCAATAAGTTTTGTCCGACATAACCTGTTTTTGACAAACCCATATTCACAGGTATTGATGTCAGATTGATTGGTCTGTTGTTTCCTGGATCCATTTTTTCCCTATTTCCCTATTGTGCTCCAGGATTTTTGAAAGATATGGTCCAGTGATTCCAAGATCACATCTGCTAGTAATTTCAGAACTCTGGGATGTAATACATTTGGTTCGGTGATTTAAACTTGTCTAGAGTGGATAGGTATTGTCTTACCATTTTCTTGCCAAGAATTTTACCAATTCTTCACTTGTATTCCTAATCTGTCTTTTATGGTACTGTTTTTGATAGGTTGGATTATTTTTTTCTATTGCATAAAGACAAATGCAATGAGAGAATTAAGCAGCTCTACTTTCTCCCTGTTGCCTGTGATCTCCTTGCCATCTTCTCCTATTAGTGTATCAATCAGTTCCTTGACTTTTTTCTTGTTTTTTTACATGTTGAAAGGTTTTTTAAAAATTATTTTTGACATTTGTTGCAAGTCTTAGTTTATTCTGAGTCTTAGCTTTCTTGACTTTGTAGATTCTGGAATATATTGCTATTTTGTTTTAGTTGTGTGCCCCCCTTTTCACTTTTTATACCTGTCCTTTTTGTCTTTCAGTTTATCAGAGTTCTTTTTGCAACCATGCTCGGATTCTTCTGGGATCTTTTCTTTTTCTTTTTCAGTGGTATTGTGTGAGACTAGACTTTGATAATCTCATTTTTGAGTTTCCTAAGATTCTTGAGTTGTTTTCCCCTTAAAGATTTCCATTCATGGAATTCTTCCCAAACTCTAAAGTTGAAATCAGCTCTCTTAAAGTCTAAGACATTAGCCTGATTTTGTTCTATTACTTGTGCCGGCATTATGTTGGCTTCCAATTATCACATACTCACTCTTCCCCAACGTTCCCATAACTTCAACAACCTCTATCATTTAATCTCTGTTAGTGAGAATTAAATCAAGTATAGCTGACTTTTCCTTTCTCCCCCTACTTTTTGGCAGTTCCTTTTTCTATCTTTTGGGAGTCAAAGTTGTTTGCTAGTTTCATCAGGAAATCTCCCACTTGATCTCCCACTAGACGCAGTTTGTCTCCCAGTTGATGTCAGAATAGTTAAAGATCCCCACTACACTTCTGTACTGTATTTGTATTGTATTGTATTTATTGTATTGTACTGTTGTTTTGTATTACTACAAAGTTCATCCCATTCTGATTCATAATAAAAATACATGGGCACTTTTATTGAAGTGTCAGTTTTTAAGGATAGCAATTTAAACTCTTGCACCATATTCTATCAAATGTGGCAAATGTCATCCCTCCTAGATCCAAATCACTCTGGAATCTCTCTGGATTTTATTTTAATTGAAACCCTGAACAATCCAAACATTCTGGATTTTGTTTATGCTGAACAGCAGCTAGTTCTGCAGAATTTCCAGAATGCAATGGTTTGTTTTGGATTTGAAGCAAAATACATTTTCCATTTTGTGTGCATCCCTATTCTTTTCTATAGAGAGGAAATAGAAGGGCTAAAAAGAACAGATATGCAAGAATTGCCAAGGTATGCTGTCCCAAATATTCTATTAGGCAGAAATAAATAGCACACTAAACAGAAATAAGAAAAGTATATCTACCTTGATGAAATCTTTTATTTCAAATGGTAGTTTCTTACAGTAGTTCAGAACCTCTGCAGTTTCTGCTTTTATTTCAATATCTCCAGTTTGCATCCTCTAAATAAATTGAAAAAGATCACTTTAATTAACAAAATAACAGCTCTATTTATTGTGCCCAGAAAAAAGATTCATTGTGTTTTTTTAACCAGATGGTGTGGTGGTAGGATAATTTAACTTGGCAAAATCCAGAACCTTATTTCCACTTCCCCTTCACAAACTTTGAGCTTGAGAGACCAGGAGTTTCTTTGAGCTTCACAGACCAGGAGCTCTTGAATCTCAAGTCAACATCTCTGTTTACCCATTTCAACTCACAACTTAATGGGCCAGGCAAGAGCAGGCTTGGGGAAAGGAAAAAAAGCATGGGTCTTCCTGGCTCGTCTAAATAGCTAAATATCATAACTATTTTTGCAGTATTATCAGAACTTTGCAGAAAACGACAAAAAAAGATCTCTGCCCTGAAGATAAATTTGTTGGATTACCAGCCAGGTACAGTATAAATCTTCATATATATTTATTTTTTTGAAAATTCCAATTCTACAGACAAGAACAGAAACTTCAAGGGCTTACTACTGTCAAACAAGTTGCTTTACTGCAGACTACAGAAAGAATCCATATTTACACAGAAGATCTGCCTGCTGCAAAGCATAGAAATCAACCTATCTGGGAAATGAGGGTGCATGGAAAGAGTGGGATCTGAGGAGAGATGTGAAGAAAACATAAAAAGTTATGTATTGTGCAGGTATATTGCCTGGAAATTCCAAGCACAGATGACATTAAGGCAGAAACTGTGGAGTCTTTTGAGAGGGCAGAGGACTTTTATAGTGCTAAATTGAAGAAAGATACTTCCAAACCAAATAGCTGCCAGGAAGACAAGGATCATTCTGCAGCTACCATTATAATTAACAGCTATAAGGTACAGAAGCAGATAGTAGTTGTTCACCAAATTGTGCTCCCTGGCTACTTTCAAGGCACTTGCATGGCAAATGAAAATGTGCCCATTTATTCTCAGCAGGTATAGCTTTTAGGAAATCATTTTGGTAGCCCAAAGCAATAAACTGTACTTACTTAAAAGCAGAGGGTTTCTCCTTAAAATACTTACAGGGTTTGCCTGTCCAGGAGGCCGCGGAATAACAATCCCAGTCACTCGCACAACAGACTCAACTGGAGCATCAGAAAAGAGCTTCCTCAAATGGGAAGCAGCCTGCAGTGCAAGAAATAGACAAATCAAAATATGCATAATTCAAGAATGCCAGCAATATGCATTATAATACATTATGTCTGGTAGTTATCAGCTAACTTCAGTCTGGCAATTAAATGGAACCTGAAAGCCCTCCCTTCATCTTTTCCACTTGCCTCTTTTTAAATTTTAACTTTTATGTACTGTTTTTATATTTTCATATTTTATTGTACATTACCCAGAGTTTCTCTGTGAGGGAGATGGGTGGTTCCAAAATGTGATAAGTGAATAATAAATGCTATCTATTAAAGTGTTTATTGAGATAACTAAAGTGTTGCAGACTAGGAGCAGAGAGAACTAGGTTCAAGTCTAAGCTTAGCCGTAGAAGCCAATTCTCTTTCAGCTCAACCTACCTCACCGGGTAGTTAGTGAGGAAAAAAAGTGTTATGTATGATATCACAAGCTCTAAATAAAAGGTGAGATAAAAATCTTTTTTGTTTGAAGCATTAATTCCAATGAACTTTTCTGGATCAGAACGAATTCTATCTTATCCAAAATTCTTTACAAAAAGATTACATCATGTAGCAGTTGGTAAGAATAAAATCAAAATGCTAATGTGGAAATTAAGTTCTTTCATTCTCGATGCATGTTTAGATGGAGAAAGACACTTCAGATATGCTTTGGAATATTCTTTATTTCCTCGTAGATTATAGGACTGAATTTCAAAAAAATGATATGGACTATAAGCTGTGTGTACAGGTATGGATATTTATAATATTGTCTGTTACAAGGAGTGTGCGCACTGAAAAGTTATAACTCTTTTCTAAATGATAAAATTTCATTCAAGATCCTGTCTTAATTTAATTTCAGAGCCTGTTTAAAAGTATGCTTACCTAAATGAATTATATATGAACTGTAACTTAAAAAGAGCAAAATAAAAATTCCAGTAATTTATTCATTCCATTTTCGTTTTTCATTTTATTAAATTTGTATACCGCCCTACTCCCGAAGGACTCAGGGCGGTGAACAGCCATAAAATAAAACGTATAAATACAAAATTTAAAATAGAGATAAAACAAATTAAATAAATTTGGCTGAACCATTTTAAAACCCCAGTAATTTAAAACCAAATTTAAAATTCCCATTTAAAAGAGGAAAAGTTTAGGTCAGGCCGGCTTGCTGGAATAGGAACGTCTTAAGCGTGCGACGGAAGGTACGCAGATCCGGAATCCTCCGTATCTCGGGGGGGAGCTCGTTCCAGATAGTAGGTGCCCCCACAGAGAAGGCTCTCCCCCTGGGGACCGACAGTTGACATTGTTTGGCCTACGGCACCCGGAGGAGCCCCTCTCTGTGGGAGCGTACTGGTCGGTGGGAGGCTGTTGCTGGTAGCAGGCGGTCCCGTAAATAACCAGGTCCTAAGCCATGGAGCGCTTTAAAGGTGATGACCAAAACCTTGAAGCGCACTCGGAAGGCCACCGGGAGCCAGTGCAGCTCGCGCAGGAGAGGCGTTACATGGGATCACCACCCGCGCGGCCGCACTCTGCGCCAGTTGGAGCCTCCGAGTGCTCCTCAAGGGGAGCCCCATGTAGAGAGCATTACAATAGTCCAGACGGGAGGTGACGAGGGCATGAGTGACCGTGTGTAACGAGTCCCGATCCAGAAAGGGACGCAACTGGCGGATCAGGCGGACCTGATGAAAAATCCTCCCGGTCACGGTATAGAATTTATATTCTATACAAAGCAATTTTCCATTTTTTTCAATATCTGATCAAACAACATCCTGCTCCCTATTTTAATATTTGCCTAAATATACAGTCTTGGCCGTAAATGTTGGTACCCCTGAAATTTTTCCAGAAAATGAAGTATTTCTCACAGAAAAGTACTGCAGTAACACATGTTTTGCTATACACATGTTTATTCCCTTTGTGTGTATTGGAACAAAACCAAAAAAGGGAGGAAAAAAAGCAAATTGGACATAATGTCACACAAAACTCCAAAAATGGGCTGAACAAAATCATTGGCACCCTTTACTTAATATTTGTTGTACACCCTTTGGAATAAATAACTGAAATCAATCGCTTCCGATAACCATCAATAAGCTTCTTACACCTCTCACCCGGAATTTTGGACCACTCTTCCTTTGCAAACTGCTCCAGGTCTCTCTTATTGGAAGGGCGCCTCTTCCCAACAGCAATTTTAAGATCTCTCCACAGGTGTTCAATGGGATTGAGATCTGGACTTATTGTTGGCCACTTCAGAACTCTCCAGCGCTTTGTTGCCATCCATTTCTGGGTGCTTTTTGATGTATTTTTGGAGTCATTGTCCTGCTGGAAGACCCAAGATCTCCGACGCAAACCCAGCTTTCTGAAACTGGGTTCTACAGTGCAACCCAAAATCCATTGGTAATCCTCAGATTTCATGATGCCTTGCACACATTCAAGGCACCCAGTGCCAGAGGCAGCAAAACAACCCCAAAACATCAGTGAACCTCCACCATATTTCACTGTAGGTACTGTGTTCTTTTCTTTGTAGGCCTCATTCCGTTTGCGGTAAACAGTAGAATGATGTGCTTTATCAAAAAACTCTATCTTGGTCTCATCTGTCCACAAGACGTTTGCCCGGAAGGATTTTGTCTTACTCAAGTACATGTTGGCAAACTGTAGTCTTGCTTTTTTATGTCTCTGTGTCAGCAGTGGGATCCTCCTGGGTCTCCTGCCAAAGCGTTTCATTTCATTTAAATGTCGACGGATAGTTCACGCTGACACTGATGCTCCCTGAGCCTGCAGGACAGCTTGAATTGCTTTGGAACTTGTTTGGGGCTGCTTATCCACCATCCGGACTATCCTGCGTTGGCACCTTTCATCAATTTTTCTCTTCCGTCCACGCCCAGGGAGATTAGCTACAGTGCCATGGGTTGCAAACTTCTTGATAATGTTGCGCACTGTGGACAAAGGCAAATCTAGATCTCTGGAGATGGACTTGTAACCTTGAGATTGGTGATATTTTTCCACAATTTTGGTTCTCAAGTCCTCAGACAGTTCTCTTCTCCTCTTTCTGTTGTCCATGCTTAGTGTGGCACACAGAGACACACAATGCAAAGACTAGGTGAACTTCTCTCCTTTTTATCTGCTTTCAGATGTGAGTTTTATATTGCCCACACCTGTTACTTGCCCCAGGTGAGTTTAAAGGAGCATCACATGCTTGAAACAATCTTATTTATCCACAATTTTGAAAGGGTGCCAATGATTTTGTCCAGCCTATTTTTGGAGTTTTGCGTGACATTAGATCCAATTTGCTTTTTTTCCTCCCTTTTTTGGTTTTGTTCCAATACACACAAAGGGAATAAACATGTGTATAGCAAAACATGTGTTACTGCAATACTTTTCTGTGAGAAATACTTCATTTTCTGGAAAAATTTCAGGGGTGCCAACATTTATGGCCATGACTGTAAAAATTAAAGAATTTCTCATGTGTATTGAAAGTCTGTCTATTGCAGAGTGTGCTGGAGATACTGAATTCTTTATCTACTAAAATTTACATATCTTTACAAAGGAAAACATATTCACTGAATTAAAATTATTAAAATATTATATGTCTTGAATCAGCAAATTAGAGATTATAAAACTGACTATTTTATGAGCTAGGAATAATCTGAGAGAGCAGCTATGAAAATTAAAAATTTACCAGTAATCCAGGAAGACTGCTCAGTAGTACTCCAAATCCAATGGCTAGAACATTACAAGTGATCCTCAATTTACAACAGAAACCAAAACCAAAATTTCCATTGCTCAGTGATGCAGTTGTAAAGCGCAACTGCAACACTTAGCAACAGCAATCCCTGCAATCCCAATTGTGGTGTTAGCTGAATCCCACAGTCATTAGGCGAGGCAACTTCCTGTTGATTTTCCATAACCAAGTCAGGAGTTACCTGAGAGACAAGGTTAGGGGGAAGGGTTGAGAAGGGTCCAGGAGAGTGAAGGGGTGGTGTAAGTCAGGGGTGTGCAGAGGCACAGGGAGGGTTGGGAGAGTACATGAAGGAGGCACAGCAAGAGTTGGGGAGGCTGTGTGAGAAGCACAGCAAGGGGAAGCAGAGCGAGGCTCAGAAAGGTGTATTAGAGGTGCAATGAAGCTCTGGGAGGATGCATGAGGGAGGCACATTTGAGGCTTGGAGAGAGTGCACAGGTTGGGGAGACTAACTCCAGCAACTTGTGACTTTCCCTGCCAACTTCCCCACTGACTTTCTGATTCACATGAATTCAGGACGCTGCAATAGATTGTACATGTGAGCTGGTTGGCAAGTGCCCAGATTGCTGGAATTCTGAGGACTAGTTGTAACTATAATTTGTACCAGTGTTGTTTAACTTTGAATAGTTGCTAATTAAATGGTTGTAAGCCAAGGACTACCTATAAATTTGTTTTAATGCAATGCTTGTTGGCTTCTAAGTAAAAAGCTACAAAAGCAGTTTTCAATAGCACTTACCTCATCCTGAGGTATGAGTATCTGTGTTAGTCCTTGGAAATCTCTCAAAACCACAAACTGTTCATGTCTAATAATGGGAGACAGACATATGTAGACATGTTAGTAACACTTCAGATTCAACCCCTGCATGGAGCTCATGAATATGCAGTGCAGAGCTCTCCAATGACATCTACTGTAAACAATGCCTAGTCACAGAACAGCTGTGAGCCTGGAGACAGCTCGGCTAGACACTTTTAGGTGACATATAAGTGTTTCACATGCAAGAAGACTTTGGTAGTACGGAACATTCAAAGATGTAGTATCTGAACATTACTTTTAATTTAAGAATTTGACCCTGGTCCTTAATTCACTTAAGCTCTCATTCTTTCCTCCCCCCCCCACTCTGTATTTCAAATTTCTTAACCATCAACCTCCCTTACAGATTTTTCTATAGGCATAAGAATTAGCATAGAGAAGAAAACAGAAACAAGATACCAGACTATATTTGTACATCCCAAAGCCTGATGTAGTAAGGCAGACTATTGTTTTAATCTTTTCTTTAGCATTAGCAATTTAATCATTCCAAGTCATTTTATTTTCAATTTACCTCTTATATTGAATCCATCCACACAGAGTGACCTCCTGACCTATATGAGCTGATCGCAACTCCCCACAAGTTTTGGACCGGGTAACAAAACTATTGACATCTTGGGATAAAATTTTGTTAATTCATAAAATGTGTGAAAGTACAAGCAATTTTTTCTTCAGTCCAACAAAAATTACTAGGACAAGTATAACGGTTATCAGTTATCAATAAACATGATATCAAAGCTTCATTCAACAGATTTATACCGTAATTAGGGATGGTGCATGAGAAGTGCAGTGTAAGTCAGGGAGACAGGTGTGAGGGGATGAGAGGTGTGGCAGAGGTTGAAAGCTCACCCCTACTGGAAATGATATGCTAATAATCAATACATAATGGAAAAAACAAAGAAGTTCCAAAAAGTAGTACATGTTTGCATTCTTGATTACAATAAGGTTTTTGACTATGTAGTTCAAAACACTTTGCAGCTAGCCCTGTAATGGGCTACTTCATCTGGCTATGGAGTAATTTGTATACTGACCAGGAAGGAACAATTAGAAAGTTTCAGAATATGAACAACTTCATTAAAATATCAATACAGTTTTCACAGTCACTAGACAGAAGTGGTCGGCTACCGCCCTCTCCTGAGATTTGTGTGTTACTTCCCAATCTAGCCTCAAAGCCACAAAATTATTTCCCAGTGCTGGCCCTACATAAACTTTCCAATATCGGCCAAAGCCTGGCAGGTGTTGGCACCTGTGTATTAGGATCGGTTGGGGATTGGAAACACATCCAAACCAGCAACGTAATTCCAGCAGAGGAATCATTATGTTCTATTTAGGGAGCGAGCGAGTCCCTTGCTTTCGTTAAGGCCAGTCTGACATTAACAAGCAGCTTGCCACTGGCGAGGAAAACTTTGCCCAAACATCCGACCTGCCGCCCGCTCTTCCCCCTCACTGCTACTCCAGCGTGTCACAGACCTGGGAGGGTCGCATCGGTTCTGAACGACGCCCATCTGCAAGAAGTAAGCCTGCTCCACGGCTTTGCTCTTCCTCCGGGAAATAATAGCTTCAGGGGACGATAAAGGACATGTAGCCAACGCATGGCCAGTAAATCGAGACACCGGTCAATATATAAGACAAGATAGGAAACGAAGCGTCAGCCTCCGAGCTCCACTTCAGAGGGGCAGCTCCTCCGTCATACGAGCCGAGCTCCCGCGGCCACTTCAGCGGCAAGCATCACTTTGGGCACGGGGCACTTCCTCGGTTCCACGCCCGAATCAAATATGGCAGCAGCAAATCAGAGGACTGAACCCTGATCTCGCGCCGTAAACCGCTGCCCGCATTTCAAAGCATGCGCACAACCATCCCCATCGCCGAACTGGCTGTCGGGAGACGGGTTTTTGTTTTTTTTTTTCAAAAAGAAATCGCCCGCCTCGGTTTTAAGTGTTGCTGGCTTCTTTTTCAGAAGAAGGGAGCGATGTCTTCCCGGCGGTTGTCGGAAGCCCGCGATCGCCGAAAGGTAAGACAAGGCCTGCGGGTGTTACGGTTTTCTAGGCGCCGCCGATAGGAATCTTTTGAGGGGTAACTGCGGGAAGTCCTTACCCAAACTTGGGTTCTCCATGTGACCGTCGTAAGAATGGTTACAAGCCACCAATTTTCTGGGTTCCCACGACGCGGTGAAACAGGAGTGTGCCTTGTGTTTTTTATATTTATGCTGGTCTTTGGCCATAATAAAGTTGCTGCCTGTCTGACAACTCATTTCTCCAGTCCAACAAAGGTGGTTCTCCAGAGCCGGACATTATTCTTTTATTTTCAGCATTTTTTTAATGGATGATTCAACAAAATTCCCTTAATTAGATGATTCAGATGAATTTATCCTTCACATGATAGCAATAACACTTAGACTTATATACCGCTTCACAGTGCTCTACACCCTTCTAAGCTATTTACAGAGTTAGCACCCAATAATCTGGGTCCTCATTTTGCCGACGGATGGGAGGTTGAGTCAACCTTGAGCCAGTGAGATTTGAACTGCTGGAGTGAGCTGTGAGTTAGCCCTGCAGTACTGCATTCTGACCACTGCCTATCTTTTAAGATAGGGGTCACAAACCTTTCAGACCTCAGGGACCACTAAATTCATAATTTTAAATCCTGCGGACTACTAATATGACTGCCTAATGACTGGCTGGGTGGGCGTAGCTAGGTGGTCATGTGACTGCGTGGGCATGGCCAACTCAATGTCACTCACGTTGAGGGGCGCCTTGCCAGTCTCTACTCACTCCTCCCCTCCCAGCCATTTTTCACCTCCCCGCAGTTGTTGAAGCTAAGCAGCCACCACGAGAAAGGGTTGGCAAAATAGCTCGGTTCAAATTGGATCTGTGCAAGAAGGAGGCTCAGTAGAAGCACCTTACTGAGGACTATGAGCATAGGCTTTCCAAGCAGAGGGAAGACCTGCAGGAGTGCAAGGCCAGGAACCGGCCCCTGGAGGGTCAGCGGGCTGAGATGGTCAGCCAGTTCCAGGCCATGATGCATTCCCATTGAACAAGACCCTCCAGCTCTTTGCCACCAGCAGCACTTCCCTCCAGTCTTCGCCCAAAGCTCTGCACCAGGAGGCCGAAGCAGTCGGAATTTCTGCCCCCCCCCCCGGACCCACACAAAAAGACCCTGAAGGAGGAGACTCTCTGCAGCAACACAAATGTTCATTGCACGTATCCAGCCCAGGGGCCGTAGTTTGAGGACCCCTGATTTAGTTCAATTCAAAAAATGCAAATAATTTTTCTGCAGACCACCAGTGGTCCATGGACCACCAGTTGGTGACCGCTGTTTTAAGAGGTGTGATGATGTTCCACTCTTTTGTAATGATATGACATTGCATATCTTTCCTCTGTTGCTTACGTGCTCCATATTATTTTGAAGAACTTCATTCTCATTCCCTTTAACAGATAAAGAAGCCTTATGATCATAATGCACTGAAGTTATGTATAGTGGTTATAAAGGTATACAAGCAACTGAGCAGATTCATATGCTGAAAGATAGTTTGCTACTTTCTGATTCATGTATTATGTCAGTAACATATCAAACTATGAGATGAGATTTTCTTATTTTGTGTAACATGTTTGTCTAATGATAATCTGTTTACAGGATGCTAGCATTTCTAATCACAGGAGAATGAAGACTGTTGGAAGAGCAACTATAGACTATGGAGCAAACCTTACAAACACTGCCTATCTTTCAAGAGGTGTGCTATCCCTCAAAGAAAGAAAGTTATTTGGTCAAACTCCAGCTAAGATAAGGATTTCACAAAATCCAGATCTACAGGTAAGGAACAATGAAGAGTGTAACTGGTAACATGTTTAAACAGGAAGCAGCTTTTAAAAATGAAGCAATTTAAATTACTCTCTAAGGGCAGGCATCCACAAATTTACTCAACAGGACAAGTATTCTCTGGAGTTGAAGGGTTGGCTGCTGAATGTGATATGCTAAAAGTTAAACAAATATGGAAATAAAAACATGAATAAATAAAAATGTGTAGTAAATAATTTGACACAGCAGAGAATATAACAAAAATATAATGTCTGGTTGGTTGATTTATATAAATATAAATATGTAGGAAATAATTCTAGTGATATGACTATATGTGCAGATGATATGCAGTTGGCCAAGAGCCAACTTGTGAAAAATTGTGAATGATTTGCAGCAAATGTTATTGATGATGCAATGAATATAAATGAAAATTAATACATCAAACATGAGGATAGTTGTGTAGAAAGATGAAGTGAGCAAGATATTCATTTAAAGTTTTTGAATCCTTTTGAACTTTAAATATTTGTGCATAAATATTACCTAAAAGTGGTCATATCAACCATTCTCCACTCAAGTTCTAAAATCTAGATAAAGAACCCAATTATACAAACAAATTACAAACATTATACTTGTTCATTTATTTATTATGGAGCATGATCTTCAAATATTGAAAAGCTGGGCTCACAAACTTTTAAGCACCTTTGTACATAAATGGTGAAAAATTAAAGTTAACAAATTTTATTAAAGGTGGGGAAAAGGACAGAAATTTTAAGATGTACTTTTGATTGACATTTTAACTCACTACCCAGTATCAATCAAAAGTGGATAAACTGATTTTATAATTGTGCTTCTGCCCATTTCGTTATTTGGAAATGAGAATTGGATATTTTGGGAAAAAACAGGCAGTGAGACTGAAGTTCTTAAGAATTACCTGTGTATTTAAACAAAAAGACACAGGATCAATAATAAAAAGATGCTAATTGTAAGCCAGTTTGGTGTAGTGGTAAAGGCATCAGCATAGAAAGTGGGACACTGTGAATTCTGATCCTGTTTAGGCACAAATGGGGACCACATCAGAAAAGCCTTGCCAAGAAAACTACAGCGACTTGTCTAGGCAGTCGCCCACAGTCCAAAACTGACTTGAACACAAGTAGTCAATCAACTGAATGTGACTTGAATATAGATGTGAGGGCCCAGGTAAAAGGGCTGATGTTACTTAGATTATATAGAGGAAATGAAGAACAACTGAAGAAAGTGGGAGAATAGGCTGAGGAGGAAGAGAATGCTTGAGGAAATTGTGCTTAGATTAAGTTGATGAATCCTCAAAATATATTGGAAGTTTGAAGTACAACAGGCAATGTATGAGGTGATGGAACGACATGGAAGCAAGGATGGTTTATAAGACTAAAAAGGCATGCAAAAATATAGTATTGATATAAACTAGTTTTAACTGCTCCTTTTCTTTTTTTCTCATCTCGGGTCTTTAAATAATTCTTGCTCTTTTGGTGCTTTCTTTAACAGTGCTTTCTAGAAAAGGAATGGTGAATCATAATTTACAGTGCACAAATTTTAAAAATGATGACTTAGAATGCTATGTAAATCCAGTCTATATATGTAAAAAATATTTACTAAATATACTACCTTCTTTTCATATTATTTTAAATCAATTATATTGTATAAAACAGAATCCTTTATTGATTCTGTTAATAAAGGGAAAGTGGTGTATTTTTTCGCTTTGTATTTTTCTCTTATCAGTTTTTGCTATCTTCTGAGTGATAAATACTGGTTTTAGATAACATAATAAGATAGAAAGGTACAAAAAAATAACACAAAGTATTATGTAAATTCTTTGTAATGTTTTCTCTGCTTTGTAAACTATGACAGGAAAATATAGATTTTAATCATCATTTTCTTTGCATTTATAAAATTTCTTTTTGTTGCAGGAGGAAGCTGGTTATCAGATACGATTCATTGTAACTAAGCAGTGGACCTTAAACAGTGTCACTCCTCTGCATAAATTCTCTTATGGACAATTGCGGGAATATTCTAAACAACTAAGTAATGTTATTACTGCACAAAAGGAAAAGAGATTCATACTGGATGGTGAAACTGATTTAATGTTTCAAGCGAAGTTTTCTTCATTTTCTGTTTTGAAAACTAAAGGAAAAAAACAAACAGCAGTTCTTATTGAGGTAAGTAGGCTTATCTAATAGGTAACTAATCCAATATTTTACTAACAATGGCTTTGTCTTGATACTTTTGAAAGATATTACAGTGGGCAGGCTATAAAAGAACTTTGTTCTAGATAATTTTGTTTATCCATCCACTGCAGCTATAACTATCTGTACTAAAGTTTTATAATTAACTCCTGGTGTTTCTTCACCAGATGATTCAAACCCAGGTAATCTCAAATATTTTTTTCTTGAAAGTTTATTGTATCCATTAAGGAAGATGAAAGAAAGAATATATATTTGCGTACACACACACACACACACACACACAAAGCAGCAAAACTCCTTTGATCAAGTTTTATGGGTTGGAACGTTACAAAATTCAGGTTTCTGTTGGTAAGGTAGCATGAAACAAATCCAATAGAATCAGACCAAAAACTCTACTCCATACTTATGCAGCTCTGAACAGTCATAAGGGGAACAATTTGGCCCTGCCATGTATTTTGCAATGTGCTGCTTTTGAATCTGTAGGTTCCTATAGTTAGCAAAGAGCCAGCTTGATTGTGTGGTTAAAGCAGCAGGCTACAACCTGAGAGACTATGAATTCTAATTCTGCCTTAGGCAGAAGACAGCGGGATGACCTTGGGCTAGTGACTTTCTCTCAGTCCTAGGAAGGAGGCAATGGCAAACTACTTCTAAAAATTTTTGCCAAGAGAACTGCAGGAATTCGTTCAGACAGTATCCCACAATTGGACACTATTGAAAGGAGGAAAAAATCTTTGAACTATTTGTTTTGAAAATTGTTATTTAGCCCCAGTTTTATTGGGATTGTTTGAAATAGATATAATAGTCTTGGTAAAATATGTGGTGGGCATGCCCCAAAGCTAAAAAAATACTGGATGAAAATACATACTTGGTTGGAAAAAATGATAAAACAGCACATAGACTTGAAACCAGAGATATTTTTATTGGGCATTTTACCAGAAAAATATGATAAAAGGACTATATATTTGGTTTTACATGTATTAACTGCAGCCAGAATTGTATTTGCACAACAATGGAAGAATGATGAGATCCCGACAGATGAGAGTGTAAGAAAATATTAGAATGTGCAGAAATGGCTAGACTAACATTTACTATTAAGGATAAAGAAGAAACTGAATATTTTTTGATATGGGACTTATTTTATCAATGGTTAGACAATAGAAACAGAAGTCAGAAATGGAGAGACATAAAAAGAGGAAATGCGGAAATGGAGAGTTAAAGTATAATGTTAAATATTATTATTATATTGCTAATTACCCTGTTTCCCCCAAAATAAGACATCCCCTGATGATAAGCCCAATCGGGCTTTTGAGCGCATGGGAATAAGGCCAAGCGCTTATTTCAGGGTTCAAAAAAATATAAGACAGGGTCTTATTTTCGGGGAAACACAGTATTATTGTGATGAATACTATTGCAAACATTTGGATTATGACTGATTAAAAACAATTGTATCCAGATCACACACTGTTGATGGAAATTGAATTTTTATATATAAATAAAATAAATAAAACATGAAAAAAAGAAAGAAAAGAAAATAGTTCTTTAGGACTGTAATACTGAGTAGCTTTGAAGGTTGTACTTTCACATAAATCCGATAGAATTCCTGCAAAATATCCATATATTCAGAAATTAATCTGATCATTGTGAATCTGTAGCATGAGTGGTGTGGTGGCCTAGAGGTAGAGCTCTCGCCTCACAATCAAGAGGCTGTGAGTTTAATCCTAGGCACATATTTCTCTCTCTGGGCACAATGAGAATATATCTGCTGAACAAAACTCCACATTGATGACAGGAAAGGGCATCTGGCCAGTAAACACTTTGCTAGCTCCATTCAGTTGGTCAGACTCCACACTGCAAGGGATTATGGGGTCGTTGAAAGATGATGATGATGATGATTGTGAATCTGTAGCATATGATACAGTACAATATGGAATTCAGTAAGAATAACTTTTATTAATGTGTTTATCGTAAATTGAGAAATTATCTCAATTTTATAGAATTGTAATAAATGTATTCATGAATATATGTGTTTATAATTGTCTTTAGATTATGCAAAGACCTCGAATGGTAGATGATGATGATGAAGAAGAAAACAAGGTGGTATGGATTGGTTGTTTCTGTTACGCTTGTACAAGTGATTTTGTTGAGACTCTCCCAGAGGATTTTACTTGTTTGCCTTTATTCCTTGTACATGGTGCACAGGGTTTCTCAAATATTGTTGAAACCTGGCTTCAGCAAACTTTTGATTGTTATTTCAGCCCATTGCATATCAGTCCTATCCATCTTGCATGGATGGCTGCAATATGGTCTGGATGCAGTATGGACCACCACACGCACGCAACAGAACTGACTTTCTCTGTGCCAGGTCTACCTTATCCTTTGGATATTTCCTATGCTATCCATTCTGAAGATGCAAAAGCTCTCTGGGATTCAATACACAGTATCCAGGGAGAAGTTAAACAGGAAGAAGTGGAATTATTCATGAACTCCCTTTACAAGCACTTTCACAGGCACTTCAAGATATATTTATCATCTACACAATTAGTGAAAGTTTCTTCATCTGTAGCCTCTGTTCATTCATTGGGAAAAATAAAGGTAAGCAATTTGCTTTTTTGATCAATAATAATGATGTGAATTTGCTTTAAAAGGAAATATTTGGAAAGAATACTGTAATGGCATTAGGCACCACTGATCATATGCAAATGTTTTCCCCCCAGTAATATCTTCTGCAAATATTTTAAGGAAGAGTATGGATATATATGTCTGAATGACCTAAAAATGGAGCTATTAAAAAGCACTATTCCTTTTTGCTCTATCTTCAGAATCAAGCCAAGATTACTGCAGCTGCAAGACCTCTGCTGCTGCTTTGTTCCTGCAGAATGAACTGCTAGGAAGCAACTGTGGCAACCTTGATTGGGCTGAAAGACTCATGGGGGGTTTATCTCACTTACAAACCAAAATATGTTGGTTGCAATAGTAGTCTTTGAAAATAAAACACCCACTCAGTATCTAAAAGAGAAAGTTGAAGCTTTTAAAAATGTCTTCAAATTTTTGTATTTTTTTAACCTTACTCCAGAATGTGGAGCACTTTTCTTTCTGCTACAGCTGTCTTAGTCTTTTACAGATAGTTCTCGACTTACCCCAGTTCGTTTAGTGACCGTTCAAAGTTACATTACTCACTGAAAAAAGTGACTTAATGATCGTTTTTCACACAACCATTGCAGCATCCCCTTAGTCACGTGATCAAAATTCAAATGCTTGGCAATTGACTCATATTTATGACATTGCAGTGTCCTGGGGTCATGTGATTCCCTTTTGTGATTTTCTGACAAGCAAAGTCAATGGGGAAGCCAGATTCATTTAACAACAATGTCACTAATTTAACAATTGCAATGATTCACTTAACAGCTACTGCAAGAAAATGGGGCAAAAACTCACTTAACAAATGTTTCACTTAGCAACATTTTGGGCTCACTTATGGTTATAAATTGAGGACTACCTGTAAAAGTAAAACATGGTATTAAAGTACACAAAATAAAACATGATATTAAGTACCTAATATTTTGTTTTAAGCTTTTAAAGGGCTGGCAGAAGAGGCAAGCTACAGACCCCATCAGTCAAGGAATTTTGGCTGCTGGGTCCAGGAAGCCTTTTCTGTCATGGCTCCTGCCCTCTGGAATACCTTGCTCCACAAAGTCAGATCTGCTTCCACCCTTTTGGCCTTTTGAAAGGCCTTCGCTGTGCTAATTCATCCAGGGCCACATTGGAGGTGGCTAAATGGAATAGGGAACCCCCTATCTCTTCATGTGCACTTTGCTCCCTTCCTCTCCATCCTGCTTAGTTTTATTTTAATTGAATTTTTAAATTTAAGATCTTTATTGTTTTAATATTTTAAAACTGCATTTTATTCAATGTCTGTAAGCCACCTAGAATTGCCTTTGGTGAGATGGGCGGCACACTGGTTTAATAAATAAAGTTAGCTTTCTTTAAAGTTTGAGATATTGAAGGCTAGATTAAAAGTAAGGCTAAAATGAGAACTTTTGTTGATTTTCTGTTTGCTTGTTGTTTCCATGGATCTAATGGTATTTCTCTCTCCCTTTTTTTTTTATCAGATTCACCATGCCCAATATCTGATGGGAGTTCTGTCACTGCTCACAGAACTGGCACTTTCAAAGATAATGTGACAAATTATTTACTGGGTTATATCTCATAAAGTTAACTACAGAAAATTATTTAGGATAGAAGATTGTAGAATTGTTTTTGTCCACTCTTCTCTTGTTGTATTTAAGTAGAAGGTAGGTTAAATGTGTTGTATATAGTATTAAGAGCTATATAGTTCCATCTTTTCATATTTCTAATTGGATTATTAAAAGAAATATATTATTCAAAAGACAGTATAATGTTTGCAACTGTCTACATATTGAACTTTTGCTCAAAAAATCTAACCGACAAAGTGGGAAAACTTTAGAATTTTTAGATTTTAACTTCAGGTGAGCTTTTCAGAAAAAAAAACACAGAGATGGTATCCAATTTACCTATATCATTGGCTCTTCCCTAAATTTAAATGACAATGGAACTGCTATACTAATTAATATAGTAAAGCAAGGAAAAATAGTGAAAATGTAACTGGGACATATTTCATCTACAGTATGTGAGGCCTATAATTATGAATCATAAAGACCAGGACCTTCTTATTCTTAACGATTCTGGGCATTTGGTCTTTGTGCAAAATAATTTCACTCCCATTCCCATTCTCTCCATTTTATTTAATGATCAGCATTCTGTGTTGTTTAGTCCTCACTGAGGTTTTGGGAAGATTATACAATTTAAGAGCTTTAAAATAACTTTTAATTTTCCTGTGTAACATCCTGTGGCACTACATCATTCAACTTGGCATGACATGTGCTCCTAGATTGGGGATTAAATTGGGATTATGATGGCATGTTTTATACAAAACCTGAATCCATAATAGATTACTTACTTTTGACATAGCTCCATGAATCATCTGAGCAGGATCAGGTGGGGTGGGGTGGGTGCAAGAGAAATGATCTATGATGAGCTCCATCTTTATTTTACTATGTACGCAAGGGGTGGGAATTGCTTCAAAGTAGAGCACACCATTTGCAACTTTGAAAAAACTTCCTGACAGGGACAACTGCTTGGCAATGCAATACTGTAGATTGCCTCAAATGGGATCTCCTTTGGGTGGAAAATATTAAGCAGAATCTGGGCAGTCATTAGCCATGGAGTTGAACTTTTTTTTTTTTTTTAGGAGGAAAGACATTGGAAGAATCTAAGAGGATAATTTTTGATACTTTTTAAGTGAATTGTTAAGTAATTAACGGAATTTTACAAAGTGGAAAATGCCTGGTGTGCTTTTTTAAAGCAAAGCCTGTCCAGAATCTGAAATAGACACTTAAGTAAAGGCATTGCTGTAGTTATCCTAATCAATCACAGTGGGACAGAAATTTGTGGATTCATTTGAAACAGTATTATGTGGAAGGATTCAGAACAGTATGGTAAAAACACACTTTTAATTTTGAGATACCTTTATAGCTAGTTGCATTGGAAATTACTGATTGGTTGGCTCAGATTTAGTTAATAACATTCTGTGAAAAGTCAGATAAATAGAGTTTACGGACAGATACAAAGAGTGGAAAGAAATAAAAAAGGACGTTTTTTTTAAAAGGTGGCATCAGATAAGGTCTTTGATACATTCCCTGCCTATGTTGGTTTGTTGAATTTAGCATTTGCTTTTGGTGATATGTTCCTTGAGCAGTGGAATGAATGACAGAGATTTGGGAGCTCCATTGCTCAGACCATCTGTATTGTTTTTATTGGTCTTGTCTGGACAATTGTCAGAGATGGAGCGCAACACATGATATCACAAAATGAGAAGGATGACATTGCCACCCAGTCATTCGTGAGAGGTTGCTTGAATATTTTGATTTTAAAGATTTTTAGTTATTGTAAGTAAAAGTGAATGTTTATATCCCAGTTGAATGACTAGCCAACATGGCTGCTTGATTCTCTAGTTGGACATGGAAGTTACCTTTTGGCTGTTTAGGAATGAAACACCTAGTCGAATGGGACAGTGCAAGTTGTATTCCAGTAGTATTGGGTTGAAAGAAATATGGCCATTTTTTCATTTCTAAGAAGACTTCCTGAGTAAATGGAATTTTCTACCTGTATTTGCTTTGCATGAGTTTCAGTGCATTTGTGAGAAATACAAATTCTTTTGTTTTTCTTAGCATTCTTGGAAAAACTTCTAGAAATATTGGGATTTTGAATACTTATGGCATTTCCCATACATCTTTAACAAAGAAGATTTTTATTATCTGCGGTAGTTATCTAAAAAACTCTCAAAGTACTAGAAGGAAATACATGAAAACTAAAAAAAAAAGAAAGAAAATCCTTGAAAAAAATGTTGAATTAAGACCACACATTGCTATTTGGTACTAGAAAATCTGGGCCATTAGGTCATCTTTTAGGTAAATTCCTCGCAGACATTTCCCAACCCCAGCCAAACAAGTTCTGGGTCTTATGAAGGGGTGTAAGAGGTGTTGCATGAATTGGGGAAATTGTGAGTATGGCACAGATTGGGAAGGATGTGCAGAGTGGCACAGGAAGTGCTGTGCAATTTGGGAGGTGGTGGTATGAGTTGAGAAAGGCATACAAGGGGTGTTGTACGGGAAAGGAAGCACGCATGGGAATGTGCAAGGGGCCAATGTGAGCACAGAGGGACTGGGGAGTTTGAGCCAATGGGAGATTTATCTGAATAAATTGCAACCTTCCCTGCTGGCTTCCCCATTGCTGACGCTCCCTGCCACTTTCCCACAGCAAAGACTTTACTTCTGGGAAGCTTGCAAGGGTTATTGCAATCCTAATTGAGTTTACACTTCCTGCAAGCTTCCCCAATGACTTTCCTTGTAGGATCCTGACAGGGAGCATTGGAAATTATGATCATGTAACTGCAGCTAACTGGCAATGCAGTGGCACAGCCACACTGAAGCAATCTCAGCTTTGCCCATTTCAGTCCCACAAGAGTCATGAGTCCTGAATTTTGGATGCAATAATTGTTGCCTTATGATATAGCATTTTAGCCAATTGAAGTATACGAACAGATATGAGTGTTTTAGTAGTATATAGATGATCCCAGAGAATATAAAGAAAAGCATAATATTAAGACTCAGGGTGATAGCAGAAAGAGTCAATTTGGCACAACATTGGAAAAGAGAAACTTTGCAATTAATACACAATTGGGAGACTAATTGGGAGACTAAACTGAAGAATGGGCAGTAATAGAAAAATGGAATGACTAGTAAGTATTGACAGCAGAAATATATATACAATTTCAAGCAGGAATGGTTCACTTATATACAACATATCATATAGCAAAGCTAGCTAAGAATATTATTGTTGTTTTTTTGAAGAAAAGTCCTTCAAATAATAATAATGCAATAAAAGACCTGGCAATGGCTAAAGACAGGAAAGTTAAAGAAAGTGAGAGAAGGGCTGATTCTGGCTGCATAAGACCAAGCCTTAAAAACAAATACATACAAAATCAGAATTGTGAAGACAGTAATAGACAGAAAATACCACCTCTTCAAAGAAGCTGAAGAAACTGGACTTAGCTGCTGCAAGAAGACTGCATAAACAATGGCATGACAAAGTAGCAACAATTGTACATTGGAAGATCTGCAACAAATAGCATTTACCTCCAAGCAAGAACTGGTCAGATCACAAAATAGACAAAGTAATAGAAAATGAAGCTAAAGTGCTCTGAGACATTAAGTATTCAAACAGACAGGAACCTGCCATATAACACCCCAGACTTAACAATTGTGAATAAGAAAGACAAAAAAGTCTGAATAGTGAACATAGTTGTACCTGAAGACAGCAGGATAGAAGAGAAAGAAATGGAGAAAATGACAAAATATAAAGACCTGAAAATAGAATAACTGTGGCAAAAGAAAGAAAAGATAGTACCAATACTGATAAGTGTCTTGGGTGCAATTCCAGAACATCTGGAGTATCACTTGAACATCATTGTCATTGACAAAATCACTCTGGTCAAATTGCAAAAGGAGCAGCTTACTACTGCAACCACAAGTCCTTGGGAAGGATTTGATGGGTGGATAAAATGCCAAATACAGTCTAAACATCTGGCTGACTGCAACGAACCATAATTAAAATTATCCAAGCAGAAATAATATCTTGTTATAAAATGGAATTCAAGCCACTTAAAATAAGAATTTTTCAATAGTTGTTTTATTCTTGTGTTATTAGGATGAAAAGCAAAGCAAGTATGCAACTAACGTAATTAGTTCCTTTATATTTGTACATATACTTGTCAAAAGTTATCTTACTACAATAAGCTATGTCCAACAAGGCTATTCAGGTTACTATGCCCAACAAGGCTAGTCAAGTTGCTGTAAATATTGTTGCCCAACTAGGTTACACATTGACTGAACCCAATTGAGGTGGAGTTGCTGTTATCCTTGGATAAACAGATGTTACATATTTCTGGAGCAGATTTGTGGTTTGGGAATCTTTTGAGATTCATGTGTCCTGCTTGAACAACAGGTGAATGTTGTGGCTAGTGGGCTTTTGCCCAACTTTGGCTGGTGCACCAACTGCAGTTATATAATGGTGACAAGCCTACATGCTCTCATTACGAACTGTATATACGAATGCAGTATGCTTTACATGGGAGTCCCTTTGTGGCTAAGTCTTAACTGGTTTCTTACATTGGGGCATATTAGCATTTTGTTACCAGTTCAGGTCTAACTACAATTTAAAGTACTGTAGTCTTTCGTGGCTTGACATTTGGGCATCTAGAAGATTGCTTTCCTCCAACCAGATTCGGCCCAACCTGTTACATCATATAGAAAAGTACACCTGTCTTGTTCCACATTCCTGGTGAAGGTAAAAAGTGTTGCTTCTTTGTTGTGGCACTAATGCTATGGAATGAGCTCTCTACTGAGATCAAACTGAAAAACATTCATAGCTTTTTCAAATACTTTTCATTTACACAATTTGCATCACTTGTTCTTGATTTTTGTTCCTGATTTCTATTGTACGTTTAATTCTATTCTTTTTACTGTTACATTGTAATTATTGAGTGTCTTTAGACTGATGACATAAAAACTGAATAAAAGAATATAGGAGATTACAAGTTTTAATAATTAATCTTGCTATAACTTTTTCCCAATACTGTAAAGCATAGTCTTTTGACTATTGCAACATGCTCTATATGGGGCTGCCCTTGAAAAGTATCCAAAAGGTTCAAATGATTCAAAATGCAGTGGTCCACATGATTTTGGGCAGGCTTAAATGTGCACATCATCGCTCCTGTGGGAGCTGCATTGGCTGCCATTTTGTTTCTTGATCCAATTCAAGGTGCTGGTGTTTACCTTCAGAGCCCTACAAGCCTTTGGATCCGGTTATTTCAAAGGCTATCTTTTCCTGATCACTTCTACCTGACCTACTAGAGCAGGGAGGCAGGGAATGCTACAGGTCTTTTTTCCTAAGGAGGTCCATCTAGTGGGACCGAGAACAAGGGATTTTTCCATGTGACTGACTCCCTATAGAACATCATCCCTACAGATATAAGATTCAACTCTGCTTTGATTACTCTTTCGCAATGCTCTGAAGACCTGGTTTTGCCAATGGGCCCCACAGCCCATCAAATGGCTTGTTTGATTGTTGGGGGGGGGGAGGCTGGAGGGGTACTGTTGTGATTGATTTTATATGTTGTTTTTTTTTGTTGTAAATTGCCCGGAGTAACAGAGTAAGTTGGGCAACCATATAAATTTTGTTAAATAACTGGGCACAATTTACAACTTTCAATCCTTTTTAGGGTTCCTGCAGTTTTTGTCTATTACAATAAACTACAGATGATGAAAAAAGAAAATAAACAAAAAGCTTACTGAGAGTACATATATCAACTGACCTATGTAAAAAAGCATTCATAACTAGAATAAACAATTTTTTTTGAGTATTACAATATCAATTGGCAAATACAGGAGTCATGAGAGAATAGAATACTCACACAGATTTTATTTAATAACACTATACAAGTTAACATGCTAGAAAAAGCATAAATTATATGTAAACAATTGTTTACAGAATACTTTTTCTTCATAAAGGTGCAAATGTTCAATATGTAAATACAAGAATGCCAACCTTTAGGGTAAAAGGTTTTATCATCTCAAGTAATGTCTCCCCAAATTTGATTTGTGATTCTTCACCCCATCCAAATCCATGAATAGATATAATAGACATTGAAGATGCTGGAATTTATAAACAAAGTTGTTTCTTATAAATGTGAAACAGGACACTTTAGAGTCTCTTGTTTTTTTCCCAATGGTTATAATCCACAAAGATCAAGGCAGTTTATCCATTCTTTTGCAGCTTTTGGAATTGTAAGAACTTGTAAGGTTTTGGAATTGTAAGAAATTGTAAGGTGTCGCAGGATGTATCAAATTAAGAATTGTTATCACTCAATTCAGATATAAGCTGTACATAGATATCCTGCACCTGATTCAGCTGCAATGCTGACATGGTTATAATAAATGTATTTTTACAATCCAATTTTCATAAACTGGTCTAAACCCCCCCCCCCAACAGAATAAAACTACATCTTAAGGATAAATATGAAAAGCTAAACTGAAAGTCCTAATGCTCTAATAACTTCTTTCAGAAGCATAGTAAGCCTGGCCTTCTTATACTTTGGAATCCAGACATTTAAAGCAGAGTAAGGATAGTACCTGAGGCTAAAGTGGGAATTTATTTTATTTCCTATAAATTATTGTGGGTACTTTTCCCCCCTTTTTTAACCTATACTGCAAGATTACTGTCCAGATTTGTGATTGTGTATTAGAGAAATGTTCCCACTATGCCAACAGTGAAATGCATCTAAGGTTCGCACTCATTTCAATAAAATTAACAGCACTAAATAAAAGTAGATCTGGGTTTCTGAATTGCTTCTGTTTAGTTTCGTGGAAACCATCTAATAAATTGTGCTAAAACTTCGGTATTTCTATTTCTTGTTCCAATTACTAGATCATCAATTTGCAATACTTTGTTCTTGTTACTGAGTAACACTGATGTCCTTATTTAATAGCTCTGTGCTTTGTGTGTGTGTGTGTGTAATGAATAAAATGGAGTAAGTCTCAGTTTTAAGAAAACTGTCCAATACTCTCAGTACAATATGTTTTAAGCAAAATCTATCACTCATCCTGCTGAAATGAGTAGGTTGAATGCCATTTTCTTTACAACAAGGCAGATGCAGAGAAGCATCTGGCTTTATTATACTTTCAAAATAAGGAAAATGATGTTTATAGAAACATTGCTCTTACAGCTTATCACTTCTTCACACAGGTTCACCTCTCTGAAAGAACTCACATATATCTGGGATCTTAGACAATGCTTGGAGTAACAGTGAATTCCAGTTCCAGCAGAAAGATTATATTAGGGTAGGAAGATAAAGACAAGGAAATTACTGTTCCAGAGAGTTTTCTGCAGTTGGGTAGCATGTTCTTCCTTAATTGTAGCAGAGAAGAGAGCAAACATTTGAATATCCACTACAGTTCCAAAGGAAGAGGCACAGCAAGAACATAAGTGATCTCATTTTACTAGAGTCTTGAAAGTCTCTTAAGTTACCTAACACAAATGTTTCAGTTGGAATGAGGAAACAAGCAAATTTTTCCCTTTGGCTTTTTACCATATATGGGATTCACAGTGTGTCATTTTGATAACCCCCACACCTCCTCCAAGTCGACGATAGTTCATTCCTCCATACAGCCTGCAGAAGAAATGGTATGCTTCTTATAACAAAACGTATAAGAATCAGAGATAAGACTGCTGAAAAGTCTAAAACAGGATTCTAAATACAATTGATTTAGAAAATGAGACACTCAGTCATTTATATTCAATGCATGCAAATTTACATAATGCTTATAAGTCAACAAGCTTGTGTAAGAAGTTCATGAGAAGGTTTTTCATCATATTGTCACAAACGTATGCTTTTAATTCTAATTTTATTCACTTATGAATTATTCACTATGATGAATTAAATGATTAAAATCTGAATGAAACACTGCAATAATAAAAATGTATTAAAACCATAAAATATGAAATGCAATGGTGAATAAGAAAATTTTTAGCATAAGCTTTCATTTTTCCAAATTTTAAACTATTATTTTAGAAGATCCATTATTGATTAAACCTTATTAATTCATCAAAACATACATGATTTTTTTTCTATACATTGTGATTGCAACACATGTTAAGCCATGACTGATCAAGGTTTGTTGAACAAACTAAGTTGTCAATATGTTTGATAAATTGAAGGTTTGCATTCCTTTTTTAAGAAGTTATTTTCTTGCACCTCTGAATTAGTTAAGCTTGGGAAAAGCTAAAAACAAATTGGGAATAAGCTAAGAAAAAAGTAACATTCATGCTCATGTGTTAAAATGCAACTAGTAAGCTACTAACATCTCTTGCACGTTCTCTGTTTTTCCTCATATAATTTGATTAGCAGAATATTTTTAAACTTAGAATGAATATACCTTGCATATACCAAGGTAAAGGTAATCTGTGTCAGATCTTTCTACGCATTTTATTTAAGGTAAAATCTTCAATATCTGCAAATGTCCTATCTGCAATAAGACAAATGACTTAACCTTTAAAGAAATTAGAATTCCCAGAATAGCTCAGTTTGGGCATTAAGTAAAGCTGAATTTCACAACTGATATAATTCTATAATTTATTCCACGTAAGAATAAATAATTTTGGAAGATAATAGATATCTTTGTGGAGTTCCTCTGGTATTAACTGTGCACATTTACACTACTTTAATCAAACTCACTTCCATTTCAGAAAACACAGATCATGAATTCTGAGAGTGTATGTGTATTGCTCCTGCCCTTATACCCACAGTGGGTGCTTTGTACAGACATTATGCCACACCATCATGTTTAGAATTGAATTATACTATGGTTTAGTATAATGTGTGAAATCACTCATTATATCTTGTACTTCATATGGTAGATCAGGAGTCCTCAACCCATGGGCCACGGCCAGGTATTGGGCTGCAGCCTGTTCAGAACTGGGCTATACAAGTGTTGGGCAAGTGTGCTTGTATAGGAAGCTCCATTTGCATGAGTGGCAGGCACTCACGTGCGAAACTCCTTTTGTGCGAGCAGTGGGTGCGTGTACCTGCTGCTCAGTTAAATGGAGCTACACACGCCCAGTGCTTGTGCGGAACCATCTCCTCTCCCCCCCTCCCCCCACTGATCCGCAAAGAACAGTTGGAGATCCCTGCCATAGATTATAACTTGTTTGTGAACTGACCCATTATTTTCAAGGGCTGATTATATAATCAGAGGGATAACATGTTGAAATAAATACAGTGTGATTTATGCCTTCTTTATCACTTATAACTTTTGTAGTTTACCTCCATGTGTTGGCATCAGGATCAAATACCTCAATAGTCTTCAAGTATGTTGTGCCATCAAAGCCTCCCACGGCCATTAGCTGTCCGTTCACTACAGCAAGTCCAACCTATGAGATAATTAAGTCTGGTCTAGTGGTTAAGTCTGGTCTAATGGTTAGGTCAGTCACTCTCAGTCTAACTCACTTCATGGAGTTATGGGGGAAATGGGAAGAAGAAGAAATATTAATAATGTTTGCTACCTTGAGTTATTAAAATAATAAAAGTAGGATGTAGGTAAATAAAATATTTCTGTTAATTACATAAGCAAGAATGCTGCAGTACAATTTTTTGATGTTCAGTGTTCTAAACTGCAACTGTAGTGACGGCAATTCCTGCAGTCCCATTGCCAATATTAACTGAATCCTACGGTCATTAGATAAGGCAAACTTGCTGGCTTCCCACAACCAAAGTCAATGGAAAAGCAGGCAGGAAGTTGCAAGTTCCAGGTTGGCAGACTAGGAGATAAGTGGTTGCTGCTGTGTGGGAGAGGAAGTGACAGGGTAATAGGATGCATGAGGGACATGGTGCAGGTCAAGCAGGCTGCATAAGGGGATGTGCAAGAGGTGCGCATCTTGAGCACAGTAGGCACTGATTGGAGAGGGTGCAAAGGTATGTGTGAGAGTCATGGTTGGAAAAGGTGAAAGAGTATATGAGACAGCATGGATTGGGGAGGTGTGCAAGTAAATCAGAAAATAGGAGGTGCAGGTTGGGTGTGCAATAGTGTGAGGAGGTGCAGCAAGCATTGGGGAGGGTCCACAAGGGTGCCCAAATGGTTGGCATGGCACAAATGCAGAGAGACAGGTGGGGGAGACTTAGCCCAGTGACTTGCAACCTTCCCTGCTGACTTTCTAATTGACTTTTTAGAGAAGATGGCAGGGAAGATTGCAAACAGTAATGCCTGATTGCAGGGTACCTGACAACCACTCAAAAGTACAAAAGTTGTCAAGTGTCTAGACTCCATTCACATGATTGCAGAGGTGCTAGGATAGCCGGATTTCCATGAAGTGGTTATAACCACCATTCATTCAGTAATATTGTAACTTTGAATGGTCACTGAACCAATGGTCATAGGTCAAGGACCACCTGTAATTATTTTTATGCACACGTAAAACACTTGGAATAGTAACTTTGCACAGATCATTTTATGTGCCTAAGTTTCATTTAAATACAAACAGTATCTAAAGATCTTCCATTAAAAATGATCTTATATTGTGTAATCTGATACTTTATAAATAATCATTATAGTACATATCAACATGGAACCAGGGTTCTAAGTTCATTCAGCTGTAATGTCTATGCACAAAACAAACACATTTCCACAAAGAAGACTACCAATACCGTGCTACCTTTTCCTTTTCCAAATTCTAAGTTTTTAATTGCAACTTTTGTACTCCTATTAAATTGGTCTCTTAATACTCAACAGTCTAATCATGGAACATATGGAGAAATAGTAGTCAACCAACCAAAGACCTTACCCCACTACGGCGTGATGTCATAGCTACTACAGGAGACCACTGGTTAGTTCTGGGATTATATCGCTCAGCACTGCTAAGTTCGGTAGTATCATCTCTGCCTCCCACAGCATAGATCATATCTTGATACACGGCACAGCCTAGGTGCTTACGTCGAGTGCCCATAGGTGCAATTGTATGCCAGCGATTCTCCTGGGGATTGTAGCGTTCCACTGTGGATGGTTTTTATGATACTGGTCAAACAATAAAGGCATCTAACAATAGCAAAACACAGTCTAAACCCCTCCTCCCCCGTATCAACAGCTGTAACAAAAGAATAATCAGAACATGAGATATTGGTAATTATCAAACTATAAACTACTGTATTTATCGGCGTATAACGCGCACTTTTTCATCTTGAAAATAATGTGGAAATCGCATGTGCGCGTTATACACCGATATGTATTAAAAAATACTGTAAAAAGAACGAATGGCGAGTTTACAGCATCTGAGACACTGTCAGAGATAGCCTGGGATATGTTAGGGTCTTGGGCAGGGGTGAAATGCTCCCGCTTCGGACCGGCTCGGGCAAGTAGGTAGCGATGGTGGCGGGCAGTTCGGAAAACCAGTAGCAAAAATTCCTGCCCCCGCCCCCTATGCCCAGCTGAGCCCCG